GGATGGAAAACCAATAGATTATCCAATTTTCTTGTCAGAGCGATTAAAAATGATTCATTAATAAAACTACAACAATAGAAATTCTATGAAAGAATTAAATCAATGTCATAAAATTCTTAGAGAAAAACTGAACCTGTACCTAACTAATAGAGGCATTGAATTCAAATCCGTGATCAGATGTCTTGGATAACGAATGAATGTAAATCACTATAGCGTTCTCAGCAGCGAAGTGAAAGTTTGCCATGATATCCGCGCGTTGCCGGACCTGCGACACTTTGTACAGACGACAGATGAACATATAGGTACACATTAATTAAACCTCTCTACTACTTTCACTATATACTTGTACAAAAACAACAAAAAAAACCAACATACCAACATCGATATTGCTCCATAACAATCGACGACAATCACATGACGCCTTGCTAATTGTAGCAAATAATTAAGAGCTCTAGGAGAATACCACCACTACATACATTACTGCATATTATAGATTACATCAAATTATCTTTTAATCAGTAACAACACAGCCATACAGAAAGTAAATTTCACTCACCCATGCATAATTAAACTCGCATGCCTACATGAAGAATTTATGTAAAAAAAAAAATATACATTTTCGTATGTACTGGCTGATACGCAAGCACTATCTGTGGTAATTAACATAAATGACGTTAACGAACCGGCTCTACTTCCGGGATCGTTATATCGGCCGAACGTGAATGAACATCATTACAATGCGATGTACATAAATGTGTCAATGTGAAACTCGCGAGATGAGGCATCCGTGAGGGCGAGGTGAGTGCGTGTCACCAGTCACCAGGATGTCTATCGGGAATGGTCGTCGCGCTCACCTGGGTATTGTCAATCGCGAACATAATAGCGTGTTAGTGGGTGCGCGCGTCGCATGGCATCGCGCTCGTGTGCGACCGCGACGTTTACAGCGGCAAGACTATCAACTACTGGCGAGACCGAGAGCATGCCGCTTGCACACCTCCACCTCCACGCACGGGCTCAGTGAAGGGGAAGCGGGGCACCGCGAGATCCGGGTTGTGCGCCCACTGCACCCGGCGGCCCCCAAACATACCGAACAAAGTTGACCTCTGGCATGTCGAAAAATCATCTCTGGTCACATACGACATTGATCACGTCCAAACAAAACGAAAGCTGAGGTTTTATCCTGAATTTCAATTTACAAATACTCCAATAATTGGAATAAATGGAAAATATATAATTAGCCACTAAATAATAAAATTGTAGTAACAAACTATTTAAATAATTTGTTGAATAAATAATACACTTAAAAAAAAAGGTAAAAATTCTTGATGATTATTTTGCATTTTCTTAATAAATTTGCGAAGTTCGAAAAAAAATATCCTATAAAAAATAATAATCACAAAAATTACTTTCCTTCTGACACAGAGACAAACTCTCAAATAAAATCAAAATAGGATCAAATAGCAAATATATATATATCAATCTATTATGTACACAGAAAAAAAATACTGTATCGAATTTAGAACATATTTAATATATATTTATTAGCAATGCAGTATATAATATAAAATCATTATATTTGCATTAACAATTGCCAATGTACTGCTGCAAACAATTTCTTATTTACACTTTGCATATAATTTTAGTATAAATAATATTAATGTTGAGATGCCATTTGTAAAATTATGATAATGAAATATTTGATGAAAATAAAATTTCCCAAATTTATCACTAATAAAACTCTTTCTATAAACAAATCTATCTTTAAAAAATCAAATATATTGTTCTATAAAAAAGTCCTTCTATAAACAAATTTTATATAGGAACGAAAGGAAATTGGAATTAATTTGGCACCTAGGAGTGCAATGTAGGGCAAAAATAATGGATATTTTTCGGAAGTTTGTCACAGCCTTGTAATGTGTATTGACTTTATATCTGTGTTTTAATTGATTACTAACATTTACCCGCATTTTTGCTTGTATGGCCGGAATTGATTAAACCAGTGTTTGTCAACCTTTTTCATGACACGACCCTAGTATGAAAAAATATTTCAGGACAGAAAGCGAAACCTTTTTTTTCATGTATTTTATAATTAATTTTTTTACATTATTATTTCAAATAATTATTTTAATTATTACAAGAAAAAATTTTTTGAATCAAGTAAAGTTCATTGAAACTAAGAAAGTATATTAGATTCAAGAATTATTTTTCTTTATGCAAAACAATTGATTTCTTCAAAATTACTTTCTTGGGTTAAGTAAATTTTTTTTTATCTGTACATGGATGGGTACCATAGCATGGATACCATAGGTTTTTATTTTTTTGTTAATTTATATTAACATACAAATGTTTCAATTATTTTAATTCTCAATAAATCTATCTTTATACTTTATAACTTATAACTTTGTTTTTTTTACTAAGGTAGTTTTAAGCAATAGAAAAAATCACAGCTCTCATCTGTAAGCAGGAGCACTTGGACACCAGCTTAATCCTCTTGATCATACTAGCTTAATCTCAGTTCAAAAATGAGTTATGAGAATTGTTGACAATCTCATGCTTATTAGTGGTACAAACCCCTTAAGATTAAAGAGATTTTGCCTCTTTTATGTGTTTTATTGTGTGTATAATGGATTGTGTTCCAAGGAATTGCTTAAAATGATGCTTCTTGCCACCTTCTATCACATCATCAACGTCATCACATCAACATTGAAAGGGAATTCATCCTTATGTGCTAAAATCTAAATGATAGCATAAAGTGCAGTTTCTTTTATACTATACTAGTGGCAAACAAGCATATGGCCCATCTAATATTAAATGGGGTTACCATAGCCTATGGACGTCTTTTTTTATAGTCTCTAGGGAATACATAGATTAGTTTCAAAGGAGTTTTCTCCTATGAACACTCTATGAAGAGTTCTCTGCCAAGGTTTTGTCTCAGGGTCAGTAATGTATGTACATGTAATAGATCAAGTGTTGTAGGTGTCTATAAGCAACAGTAACCATTTATCATCAGACAGGATGCATGCTTATTTGCCACCTTTGAGATAAAAAGACTCACTGTCCAGTAACTACAAGACAACAGTTGACAAAAGTCAAGAATATAGATTAGAATTGGTGAACTGTACTTGCTTTCTAAGATTGCAAATAGATTATTGAATAAATCATTAACAGCTTCTCTGAACTTGATTGCATGTAAGCACTCTTTTAGACACCCTCGACTATTCAGTATTCTATTTACCAATAACAATGTCTCACAAAATAATCCGATTCATCAGATGTGTCAGTCTTATAACAAAATTAGCGAAAAATTCGATATCTTTCATCAGAATACTATTAGGTTTAAGAGGTCATTGTAGGGTTTTGAGATAGAATAACTTTGGATCATAACTGTAATCAGTAATGTAATGTACATCTATAAAAATATTATAACATTTACTTCTAACTTACTGTTACATGATGTTTACAATGTAAGGTTGGCAAACTGTGTATTAATAAATTTTTGTATTGTTTTCTTTTCAATGGTTCATTTCTGTTTGCAAACTGTTATTGTAACTTATAACAAATAAATAAATAAATAAGAACACAAACTAGAAAACTACCCTTTTTAATGACAATTCAGAAATATTGAAAATAATTTATTTTTGATAATACAAAAACTGGCAGTGTTCAATATGAATACATATATATAAAAATGATCTTTTATGGAGTAAACTTAATAAGACTATGCTTCCTACAGAGTTAGTTAGAGTTCTTGAATATTGGTACAATAATCAAAGTAATCAGGTGAGGTGGAATGATACTCTATCAGACTCATACTGATTAAAATGCGGAGTGAGGCAGGGTGGGCTGACTTCACCCAACTTGTTTAATATGTATGTAAATGGCCTAATTGAGGAGCTCAGTGGAATGCATGCTGGGTGTTATATTGATGGAGTAAGCGTCAATAACATAAGCTATGCCGACGACATGGTACTGCTGAGCCCCTCAATTGGAGCTTTAAGAAAAATGCTAGCTGTGTGTGAAGCATACGCAAAAAATCATGGTCTGGTATATAATTCTAGCAAAAGTGTAATTATGACATTTGTATCTGGACATAAAAAACCGAAGAAGTATAAAAATAATTTGCAGGAAGGGATTCAATAGCATATTCAATAGTAAATAAATAGTATTAAGATAAAGATAAAAATGATGTAAGAAATGATAATATGAATTACCTACTATATTTTTTGGAAACCATACACTTTAAGACATAGAATGGATAACCCCTTACTTTCCTGTGGGTGTTGTAAGAGATAACTAAGGGGATGTTATTGTATATATAGAGGGATGGGCAGCAGAGTCAAGCCAATCAGATTGCCAAGTATGGCAACTCTTGGCAAAACATGAGATATATGTTCAGCAGTTGAAAGTTAATGGCTGATATGATGATGATACACTTTAAGAGATATAGAGCTCTCAAATAATGTAAATTATATTGTTTATATTTATAATAAGTTTATTATTGTAATCTTTTGGAGAAAATAATAAAGAGTATCTATCTATCTATATGTCTTTTTATTATTATTAATATACTTTTGTTTACATGACGGAGATAAAAAGTAGCTTACTTATATCCTTCTCCATTTCATATATGTGTAAGTGAAATTTAATAACATTTGATTAATCTAATAAGGTGCCAAGAAGAATCAAGCACACTTCCTCATATATAAGATTAGTCAAGATATTTGAATTATGCTCTCATAGATATCTGTTAATTTCATATTTATTAACTTAAACAATAGCATAAACAGACCTGCAGGCGGGGTTACCATTCCATTTTCACCCATAAAAAAAAACATTCTAATTCATTCATGTCATAAAAATATGTTTACTATTTAATTCAACCAAAACTGAATTAGCAAACAAAGTGTTTGTATAAACTAGTTTCAACATCTGGCAAAACAAAAATGTTTCCAGAACTACACCTAATTTATATTGATGCACTTTATTGTGCTCCCACTAACCTGTATTCGTCCGATTAATTCTCGTGGGTTGTAGGTGCCATCAGCTGGATTCAAGTTGAATATGACGTTAAAGAACACATATTCGGGTTTTTCTTTTGCGAGGCCCGATTTATTCTCAGATAAAGTGACACAGTAAAAAGTTTCTACTAAATTTAAATATTTGCTGTAGAAATCAGCTACACAAGATCTCGGTACCGATATTAATAAATCTGTGTCGTGAGACATTGTAGGATTGTTGTAATAATAAAATAAAAGCAACTATTGCAAATTAAATTGCATAATTTATATCAAAACACTATTTCAACAAGACTATTCCAATAAAAAATTCTTAATGACGTTTTCTTTTATCTGTTTCTAAAGTCAAATTAAAATGAGAAACATAGATAAAATAATAATGTTGCGTTTATTTTCTTTATCTAAGACAATAATGCGACAACCGCCATTTGCAATTACCTAGCAAGCTTATATTGTATATAACAATTAAAAGTTAACAATAATTTATTTATTAATTAACTTCAGTACACATATAAAAAGTTGTATGTAATATGTACATATTATATAGTAATCATGATGTAAAATTAACATTTTTAGAAATCAAATATCTTCATGAACTTTATGCAATATATGATATTAATAATAATCTATTTCAACTGATTCCAAAAAGAAGTTCGCAATTCAGTTATATTTTATTACTAGCTATTTTCCGCAGCGTTGCCCACTTCTAATTATGTAATTCCCGTGTGTCATTCCCATTGAAATCCTTCATGAATGAAAAAAGTTTCAGCCAATTCAACTGATCGGTTATTTTATGGCATTTTATATGTGATTCTTTGGATTGATATAAGTCTTTTATTTATAAACTGATTGAAATAAAACAAACATTAAATATTAAATGAAGTTAACGGCAACGCATTAGAGAAAACCGCATTCAAATCAGTTAAGCTATTTTTAAATCGGTTTCTGAGATTAGCGTGCATAAACGTACAGACAAATAGACAGAAATTCTAAAAATCATTGTTTTAGGTTTTTTTGCGTTCATAAAGCCCTCCTATAATATATAGTTTTTCTTATATATATTCCATATACAGATAACGATCAGTTACGACTTTGTTATATATATTGACTGATTGATGATGTCTATTATCACAAAACTCCGTCATTTATAAACCAATTTAGAATTTATTTTACTTAAAGGTTTTATAGTCCCATAGATATTGTATTAAAATCGGTGCAAGAATTTAGTTTTTAAAGCAAAATAACTGGTTTTGCCATGATCAATGTATGAATACATTGCTATTCTTAAAACATGATTTGTTATACTTCCATAATTTGTACATTTTTAGGGATCTGTACCTCCAAAAAAACGAAGCCCTTATATGATCACTTTGTTGTCTGTCTGTCCATTAAGATCCTTATTCTTAGGAATCTGTTAGATATTTATTTTAAATTATATTAATTTTCTTAAACAACCTGTGTCAAAATGTGTACTGTAGATACACAGATGGTGTATATTTCGTCCTCTTTTTACTAATTATATTTATATAGGTAGAAAGGAGGCAACCATATGATTTACAGTTTGTATTTTATCATTCCTTCTACAATTGTATGTAATTCCTTTTTCTTAGGTTTTCATTGTTTTGATGTCATATTAATTTCTATACGGATAACTAGATGTCGCTACAGTCATTTAGTAAAAAGTATACATTGAAAATATTTCTTTTTTTCTTTTATTTATAGCGGTGTTAAATACGAAGTTTATAATCAGTCTTTGTTTCATTGTAATGCTTTCTTTTAATCATAGGTATTTACCTATTTATTATCTTTGGAAATACTGGACCAAAATTAACAAATAACCTCCAAGTCATTCTCACTCTTTGCGTTAGGTCAAAATGACTACTTAAGTAGGTTGTGTACTAAGCTGTATAAGTTACTATAGTTTTTTTTTACTATCCCACGGGAACTTTAATCTTTCATAACTAAAAGTATCTAAGACCAGGACCAGCCATGCAATATTTCATTTAAATCGGTCCAACAGTTTTGGAGATTAGCCCGTACAAACAGACAAACAATCAAATAGATCATTTACCGACACTAAAGGGTAGATACTAGCGTTGAATAATCTTCCTTTTGGATTAGCTTGTAAGGTTAAGGTCGGATCTATATTATAGTGCTACTCTCGGTCTTATAAAATCTTAGTACGTTATACTAAATCTATGTATTAGCTACGTAAGAAACAACGTATATATTCACATTACAATTTAGTTTCATTCTGATCAATTTCGAACTGTTTGTCGGTTGGTACCCACTAGCTATATAAATTAATAATTAATATAAAAAAATTCAGCTTTATTCGTGTAAATCTAAGTATTCATATTATAGAATTAGTGTTACCTGCCTATTCGCTCTAATGACATAGAAAGACATTATTTTTTATCTATAAATATATGATTAATATATCGCAAACAGTTTACGTTCTCAGTACCTCGATAGAGCGATTTAGGAACTAAAATTACCATTATTAATTAGTTCTATCTTTTGCTACTTCATTGCAAATGGCGCTGTACGAAGTCATCCATATATTAAGGATAATATAATATTTGAATATTAGTTTTTTTACACTTTATCTTGGAGACGCATTGAGGCTGAAATTTTATATGAATTTTAGAACCGTTCATAAATCTTTTAAATGTTTAGAGAGGATTTTTTTATAGGGAGATTTTTTCTAATACTTAGAATAACAAGTCAAGTGGCGGCCTACTTGGTCGAAAGTAGTAACTGTCGCTCATAATACATATCATGTCGCTCATGAATAATACATAATAGAATACAATGTGATGTTCATGGTGCCTTTCAGACGATGCCATTCTTAAGGACTATACAGTTATGTTTCTGTCTCCACTATTTATTTTACTACCATGTTCCACCCTTCTAACCGCTGCTTGACAGCAGAAACTTGGATGGGGACAGAGGTACGCATACAACTTTGTTTCTCAAGTCTCTCTCTGATAAAGATTTTAGGAGAGCGTATAATACATAGCCCATGCAATTCATATCTTTTGTAATCAATTAAATAATTCTTACTAAATTCTTTTCTAATTAATAATTACCTACATGTAGGTATTTATAGTACATGTGTAGGTCTTGGATTATATAGATAGAGTATAATCTCAAAAACGGGTCAACTTTTTGTCAAATTAGCTGACTTGTTTTTTTATTAGTATTCTATATACTTACGCACATAATGTAGCTTGGCATATCTATATATAATTATTTAATAGAAAAATAACTTTTCGTATATTTAAGAGATGCAACAATTATAAAACAAACTAAAGGCTTATGTCGAAGTTTTTTTTATGGAGACATTATATATATATATATATATATATATATATATATATATATATATATATATATATATATATATATATATATATATATATATATATATATACCTTGAAAACATTACACTTCTTTTGTGCACAGTTTCCGTAGCATCGTTGTTACGGACTACAGTAACACGGGCGGTCACAAATATCTTATTAGGATTTAACATGATGTGAAAATATAAACTAAGTGAAACAATTTTGCACCCAAATCACTGTAAATTATAAATATTTATTCGTAATGATGAGAGAACCAAAAAATAGTGAACATAATTATGGAAGCATACAACAACCGCTACCCATGGCTGAGTCGGATAACATGGCGAATAATTGGCGTGACTGGAAGAAAACGTTCGAGTGGTATTTGATAGCATCAGAACGAAAGAGTTCTTCGGGTCGTGAAAAATGTGCATTATGCTTGCACACAATAGGAAAAAGTGGGCGAGAGATTTATAAGGAATTAGAATTTAAAGTTGATAAACAAAATCATTTTGAGAACCTTTACAAAATATTTGAAGATAGATGCGACCCACAAAAATACATAAATTTTGAACGACACATTTTCTTTGAAACCTATCAAGGTAACGTCAGATTCTAGAAATACCTAGCTGTTCTAAAAGTAAAAATTAAAAATTATAAGTTTGAAGAATTACGAAACAGTCTGATATTAACATTCGAGTCATCAAAAATGTACAATCGCGGGAAAGGATATTACGAAGGAAAGACTTGTGAAAGAAGTGGTATTATGGTGTCTGGCGGCTGAAGTAGCTATATAGCAGGCGCTGGTGGTGGGCGCGACGTCAGCACTGGTGGCATCGGCGTCGGTGCCGACTCCTTCCGCGCACGCAGATGTCGAGTCCGGTCCTAGATCACCTAGTTCCCGGTGGCACCAATAACGGCGGAGCGGCTGCGGCCCATCATACGCCGCAGCAACGTTAGTGTCGATATTGTGATTATGTGCATATAAATTGTTAAGAAGAGATCTTTGTCTAACGATAATAGTGCTCTTCTTTATCTGTGCGTTACCTAGCAACTTGTTTAGTTAATGTTCTCTCGAAATAAATATTACTTTCACTACAAATATACGTACTAATATTCTATCTTAAATCTATTACATTTCCTGTTCCCTTTAATGTCTTAAATTAAATGACCGTTGTTCACCGTATAATTATAATGTTTTAAGTGCAAAAAGAAATAGGGCATTTTGCTAAGCGTTTCAAATCTGGCTTTTATATGCGTGAATTACATAATTCGTGCACTGATATTAGTGATAGCAACGAGTTCATTATAAATGGAATTCAAGTTATTTTTGTTGACTGTAAGAATTGGTATGAAAGAGTGTTAGTAAACGGAATTCCAGTGCAGTTTAAGTTAGTGTTGCGAATCTATGTGTTATGTCTGTAAGTGGCTACACAGCGGCGGGATTTTGTAAACAATCCTTGCAGCGCACCGAAACAGTGCTCAGAGAGGTCAGTAAAAATGTTTTACCAGTATTAGGATTTTTTGTAGCAGATTTATTATATGATGATACAACAATCCGTCAAAAAATATTTGTCTTAAATGTCAAATGTGGCAATTTATTGTCTAGCGAGGCCTGTGTGAAACTTCATTTTTTAATTAGATTGAATGAAATTCAAATTTTTGAGTTTTAAGGGAGTAGGACAATTAATGGGTGAACATAAAATAATATTAGATGAAACGGTACCTCCGATAGTTAGAAATGCTAGAAAAATACTTATCACATGAAGCGTAGTCATTTTCAACTTCCTACTTTGGATTAAATAGCTGCGAATTTCGCAGGTGTAAAATACTTTTCTGTATTGGATACAAGTAAATCTTTTTGCATTGTGGTTTTTAGATGATCACAGTTAGAAACTTTGTACATTTGCTACACCCTCCCTTCGGACGATATAGGTTTCTGAGATTTCCGTTTGGCATTTCTAGTGCTAGGCGAAGTTTTTCATAATATCATGTACAAATTATTTTCAAGAAAGGGGGTAGAAATCTATATTGATGATGTTCTAATATAGGGTAAAACGCGAAAAATATACGATGAAAGACTGAAGCAGGTACTTTAGTATGCGGCAGATGAAGGAATCCGCTTCAATAGACAAAAGTGTATATTAGCCGCAAAACAAGTAAAGTTTCTTGGTCATATCTTTGATGAAAATGACATAAATAAAATTTCGATACCGAAAACTAAAAAGAAATTAGAAAGATTTTTAGACATGTCAAATTATGTAAGTTCGCATACCTAACTATGTAAAGTTAACGGAACTGTTAAGGAGCTTGCTAAATTATAAAGTTACCTTACCAACCCTGATAGGTAAGCTTTAAGTCTCGTCTGTCTGCCTAACGTAAATAATTCATTGTTTCCAGTAGGAAGCGTAGATGTCGCTCTAGTTAGGTATATAAATATAACACATACATTCAAGTTTTGCCTCTTATTAAATATTTAATAGTGCCAACTAAATGAATTTTAGAAAAATTTTTCTATAGTATAAGGAATAGATTGTATATTAATATTGTCATTCGACTATTGTTACCCTTTTGATTAATATTTTCTTAATTTGTAAATTTATTGTATTATTTACACATACAATAAAACTGTAGAGATTGAATGTCTGTACATAGAAAAAAAAAAAACGCTAAAAACCGACTCACCGGGCTGTTAGAAGTGAAATAGAACACATGTAGATTTCTATAAAATTTTTTGTTTCTCTGCCTGTTTGTCTGTTTATACGGACTAATCTACAATTTTTGTTAGACCGATTTAAATAAAATTTTGCATAGTGGTACCTTATATCCCCTGTCAAAATTTTAGATACTTTTAATGACGGAAAATTAAAGAGTTCCCGTAGGAGAGTTAAAAAACTTTAGTAACATATACACAGCTTAGTATACAACCTACTTTAGTAAAGTTATTTTGATCTAAAACAAAGAGTGAGAACGACACGCCAGTTGTAAATTTTGGTCCAGTATATTTATTGACCAGACAATAAATAGGTAGGTACATATATCGATATATATTAAACAGGAATAACAACTACCACGCGGAAAAAGTCGCTGATGCCCGCATTTAGTATCTTATGGTTATTTGACATTTATTAATTACTATTTGTTGAGAGCGCCACTATTTATAAATTGATTGTTTATATACTTTTATATATATTTTGTATTTGTACTTTACAAAGGGTTTATTTAGATTAACTTAATGATTTGTGCGGAGATACAATTATTATTTTGATTTAATTGTAACGTTGATACTAGATGGCGCTCTGTTCTAAAACACGCTATAATTTAATTCCTGAGAAGGCAGATTCTAGCATTGTAGATTTAAAATATTTAATACTTTAATAATTTTTTTACATCATAATTAATACTCATTCTCTTATATTGTTTTTCATTTCGGGAATTTTTTGGGCTCTTATAATACCGCTTTGCGTAACACATCACTATTTTTCTTTATTCCCATTCAAAATATAAATTATATAACTGATATAATGTATAATAATGTACCATAATTTATTTTTAAAATGTAATTATAATTTATATATCATAAAACTGTATTATATTGTATTGTGTAAAATATAAATAAATATTCTTACATCGCTTAAGGCAATTGAACAGACGCCAAACTTAGTACTATGATACATATGTTGATAAATTTAACACTGATTAATTAAAAGATTAAGATTCAATTATTGTTATTTTGATTTAATTGTAACGTTGATACTAGATGGCGCTCTGTTCTAAAACACGCTATAATTTAATTCCTTGGAAGGCAGGTTCTAGCATTGTAGATTTAAAATATTTAGTACTGTAATAATTTTTTTTACATTATAATTCATACTCATTCTCTTATGTTGTTTTTCATTTCGGGTATATTTTTGTGCTGTCTAATACCGCTTCGCGTACCCTATCACTATTTTTCTTTATTCCCATTCAAAATATAAATTATATAACTGATATAATGTAACATAATTTCTTATTTTTAAAATGTAATGATAATTTATATAACATAAAATTGTATTATATTGTATTGTGTAAAATATAAATAAATATTCTTACATCGCTTAAGGCAATAGAACAGATGCCAAACTTATTACTATGTTACATATGTTGATAAATTTAACACTGATTAATAACAAAGAAAAAAAAACTCAGTTAATTTTTAAAAAGAGCCATCTTTGTCAATCGGAAAACAGAAATATTTTTGTAAAGAAATTATGAAAGAAATATCAATTTGTAGCAAATAAAGGGTAATCAATTAAAGTTTAAGAAATAAAATTACATATTAATTTAAAAAAATATATGTATTAAAAACTAATTTACCATACAATTAATGTGTTGCGAGAATTCTAAAATAAAATCAATAATTATAATATGAAAAACACGAATCAAAAAAATAACTATTATTTTAAAAAAAAATATTTTACCGGCGCGAGAAAACAGCAGTCAATAATTTTCTTGTTATACGCGTATAAGAGGAAGACCAGTTTATATTTTCGAGCACTTCCAAAGGTAGTTTAGCGTGTCCATTGCCGATAGGTACCTGAAATATTTATTAGATACTATTAATAAATAACAAAGATTACAACATTGGAAGAATTAGATACATTTTATACGATACAACTCACAGAATGCGGCCGACAAAACTATCGTTTGCGTGTATTACCAATATTTAATACTGATAATTGACTATTAGTAAGTAAGAAGTAGATCTAGATATAGATTCCCTATTATTTATCATCTTATCATTGTCTCTGATTATTATATGCAAGACTTAAAATAATATAAATAAATTATTTCTTATTACCATTTTACCGCCAACTTTGTTAACATTTGAATTGCGTCGGATCCTTTTGTTCTCCTTATTTGTTGCACCTCGATTAAAGGTACTTAAATTACCACTGGACGATGGTTGGCAATTATATGCATTCAAATCTTCATTGTCAGACTAAACAAGAATTTTGTTCAAATTAATATTAGGTAAACAATAAAAAATGCCGTGTGGTTCTGGCTTAAAATGGACCACCCCAAATTTTTATCAAATTTATCAAATTTTTCATAATGTCTCCACTTTAGGAATAGAGCTCTTTATTATACTTGGTATGGTAACATTTTCGTAAAGAGTCGTGCTAGTTACATTGCTACTAAGGGAGAGGGTGCCAAGACGCGGTACTTAAGACTTAAAGATCAATAAAAAAAAGAAATACATAGTGCGACGATCATATTTATTTTTTAATTAACAACTAATTATTACTATTCTAATATTTGATGATATTAAGAACTTTTCACTTCAGAAAAAAAAAATCAATATTGAAAATGGTCCTGCCCCATGGTGGTTGTTAGATGAGGTATCCCCAGAGGTAAAATAGGGTGACGACAATTTCAGAGAGTAAGATGATTATTTGGACTGGCGGATAACGCAGACTTGGATTCGTCATTATCATCTATTCCTGCACAGTTATTAAGTTCAAGTATATTCCCTTCAATAGAAGTGGGATATACTTCACTACAATACAGACGTGGTGTGTCCTCCTCTTTCTAACTTTCATTTCCAAATGATGACATTTTTGGTCATTTTGCTGTTTCGCTATTCTTCCGTGATTTTTATTTTTAGTGTTTGTAATTTTTTTTTGTTTTTTTTTTTTTTGTTATTCATTCTCCTACTTGCCCATGTTTTTTAATTTTACTTTTCTTTTGGGTGCCGACTTCTAATTCCTATTTGTACGGAGACGACGTGATAATTGCTGATTTTCCGCGTTTTTTAGTGACACGAGAAGATTTTTTAGTAACTTTTGGTAAATTTTAACTAGTGTTAGTAGTAGTAAATATTGATAACTGAAGTTGTTCAAAATTTAATTTCTTATCCGTCATGTTTGAGCGATTTTTTTTTTCACTCTCTTTGGACAGGAAAAGCTCCTCTAAGCGTTGCACTACTTACATTCCACATTATAACTGATAATTAATAAATTTCAAATTTTGCAGTAAATTTTTAAGTAAATAAAAAAGCTTTAAGTAAATACTTATAGAACTAGCATTTACTTCAACCAAATATTAAATCGTTAGTATCAATTTCTTAATAATATTTCTAATACGAGCTGTCTGTTTGTTCAATATCCAAATATTCAGAGGGAACAGAAAACAATTAAAAATAAATAATTCCTTATTCACTGCATTATATTTTAAATATAAATGTGCATTTATTTTATATTTGCTGTTTCTCATAAGTTAGTTTTCCATAATGGAAGTCGGTTTATTCTTTGGAACATAATTATTACTAATGACATAATTATGACTTTTAATATCCCGGTTTGCTATTTTTTATCTCGGCCGCGGAACGAATTTGTGGGCATAGTAGTAAATATACTCGTAATATAAAAAATGCGCATGAGCAGTAAAGTTGTACTCACACTTATAGTATTTTGCTTTGTATTCTTTTCACTAGTAACAATGGACCCAAACTTAGTCATATTTATTTTGCGACTTTCCTTTTTAACTGTGTCTTTATTATATGACACCGTTGGTTTTATAATGACATTATCGGAGACACTGGGTCTGGGAATGGGCTCTGAGATCGGATGTAGAGACGGCTATTTATTTAAAGTATGCAAATATAATGTTACCTTAAAATCGTTTGTTATAATCAATTTCTTCATAAACTCAAATGAACAGTAATTTGTGAAAACTGGCATTATCATTATTTAAACACACAAGTGTTATTCCTCTGTACCCAGTAAACTTACGCCATATCCCACCCTTCAAACCGAAACACATCCATGCAAACACAACTGCTTCATGGTCGAAACACGAATGGGACAGAGGTACCCAAGCAATTGACTTTTGTACAAAGTCTCCCTATATAATAATGAAAATTTAACACCTTTAAGTTATATATCGTTTGGAATTAGTATTAAAAATACTCACGGTTGATGGTGGACTGGGTTGTTCTTCATGCGCGTCATCTGTTGTCACATTATTTGTAGGAACAGGCACTTCTTCGTCTAGAAGTAGCAATGATAACTCGTTAAATTTAAATTTTGTTTCAAATCACAAAGATAGCAAACGAGTATATAGACCGTCTAGTGGTAAACGGTTATCGTAATCTTATAATCTAAGCATAGTCTATAGACGCATGCAACACCAGATATGTAGGGGAAAGGGATTGTTAGTAATAAGATCTAATAGCTCCATTGCTAGCAATATACCCTCTTAGGTCGAGCTCTACGCGGTTCCCCCTGGAATCCATCATGATTAATTTTTGTCTAATTCATCATGGTGAACCATTTGACTTGCATTCATTCTCATGTTTCATCTTCTACTGGTGCCTCGTCGGTGTACACCGATAGCGCGGGCGGGGACTTACCATTCCATTTGCATCCATTAAAAAAAATCAGCAGTTATATATGTTACATGTACATTGTCAATTGTGTAGAAACTATTTAAAGACCCTTTAGAAAAACCAATCGCAATTGTTATAATGTACGTTATTAATAAATAAAAAAATAAATGAATTTTTAAAACTAAAATTTCATATCATATGTGCCTCTTTTTTTCGATTATAAAGGATAGTTTAAAAAATGAGAAATTCCACGATTTTATTCAAATCCATCCAAACATTTATATACAGTAGGATCCAGAACATAGACGGTTAGAAAACCGCCCTCTCATTAAATAATTAAATCCGTTAACGATACTAATTTAAAAAATTCAGAGGTTTCAATCTTAGGATCCTTGGACTGCAATCGAGTATTGCCCAACTGTGGTGTATTTTTGACGTTTATATTTGAAGTCGCATAAAAGATAACTATAAATAGCACTTTCTTACTTGTCACATTGATACGGTGCAGGGTCCACAAACTCAGAAGACCTTCTACAGTATCTCTGACACTGGACGGATAGTTTCTTAATAAATCTGGTAATGCCATCACTGTAAATTATAAAATGTTATTCAGTTATAAATTACTAGCGATCCGCCCCGGCTTCGCACGAGAAGTTAGATACAACTCATTAGTTGAACAAATTAATGTATTAGTGTAGACAAACTGCATTTAAATTAAAACACAAAACGAAAAGAAAAATGTTAATAAAATCACATGCATTGTTCTGTTGAATTACTTGAAATAATATTGTAATATTAAAATGTACATATGTACATGCCTTTAAGAAAAATATAATTCTCACACAAAATCACAACAAAATATCGTATGAATAATATAGGTACTGATTAATCGTTTACCAGTATGCTCGCCAAGGCTGGTTTGCATACTGACTACAACTCAATTTCTTCCTGTCCTGGTTTCATACCCACTCGTTACTGAAAAAAAAAAAATTGAAACTCTAAAGCAAAAAAACATAACCGTTATACCGTTAACCGTCCGTCTATCAAAATCCTTTTTCTTAGGAATAGGCGTGAAGGTATCAAGTTGAAATTAATATCATATGCTCAGGTTTGCAATCTCTTAAAGCAGTGAAATAATCCAACGTCTAAATCGACGCAATCAAAAGATATGGCCATTTATGTTCTATTTATATCGTATATTTTAACATTCGCACAAGAAATCAAAACCTATAAGGTACTTACGTTAGTTACGTTTCCGCTGTTTTCTTTTTTTTATTGCTTTACATTTTCACTTCTTCTCGAGACCTTTTATATTTCCTATAAATTCTTAATGTAATACTATCTGACGCCCGCGACTTTTTCCGCGTGGTTTTTGTATTCCTGTTTAGTATATATAATATATCCATGTATGTACCTACCTATTTCTTATGTCTGGAAATACTGGACCAAAATTAACAAATGACGTGTCGGTTTCACTCTTTGCATTAGATCAAAATAACTTCACTTGAAAAGGTAGTGTATACTAAGCTGTGTATAAGTTAGTACAGTTTTTTAACTATCCCACGGGAACTCTTTAATTTTCCGTGATTAAAAGTATGTAAAGTTTTAACCGGGAATGTAAGGTACCATCATGCATTTTGGACATTGCACCATTTAAATTTTATTTAAATCGGTTTAACAGTTTCGGAGATTAACCCGTACAATCAGACAGAGAAAAAAATTTACTTACTCTTTGATTTCATTAACTCAGTTTTAGAATTTATTATATTATAAAAAATAAAATTCTCGAAAAAATGTGTTTGTGCTAACGACCCATTCGAAACATGTAATATATACATACTTATTATCATGTAGTGCGGGTTGGTTATAAATATATAAAATAACTACAATCCATTCATAAAAACATAATAGACTTAATAGATAATTACAGACTTAACACGGAGGGAAAGGAATTGCTAGTAATGAGGTATAATAGGTTCCCTACAATACCAGCGCTTCTAAGCAACGCGCGTGGCCTGGCAGGGACTTCCTTGAAAATCGGCGTGGCGCGCAACGTATTAAAAGAAAGTTTATTTTGTCCGCAACTACAATGCAACTATAGGGTACAAAGCTGTAACACCATAGTCCTCAAGAATAGCAATAATGAGGAATACCGTGGATATCACGGTATATCTGTGATGTCCAGGGTGCTATCTATAGGCGACGTTTACCACTTTCCATCAGATGGACCGTCAGCTTGTTTCTCATTCTAAGTTGCATAAACAAAATCTACGTTAAAAAAATCTATTTCGCCTTCATAGTCATATATGACGGGCACTTGTGTGCGTTACTTTTCCTACATGAAAATTTGTGAAGTTTTATCAATATATTTACCATATTGAACTAAATGTAATGTCAAACTTTCAAAACAATCGGATATTACAAAAAAAATATCCTACTGTTCATCTCCTAAAAGACATATCATAGTGATATTTATTCCAGGTTAGTCCCTGATTCTTGCGAAACACTGCATGCCGTCAGCTTGTCTGCCATTTTAAGTTGTATAAAAAAAATATTTGTCGTCAACAACTACTTATTTGTTTATATCACTGTTTCAAAATTATAACATTTTCGCGATGATCAAACAATTCACAAATTATGTATAATTGGTTGTACGGAAATAGATAATAATAGCGTATAAATTTATTAAAAACTAGCGATCCGACCCGGCTTCACACGAGTAGACAGAATTTTCGAAAATCAATACATATAATAAGAACTAAATATTAAGTGGAGCAAACCGCAACACATTAGTGAAAATCATATTCAAATTGGTTCAGCTGTTTCTGAGATTAGCGTGCACAAACGTACAGATAAAAATTATAAAAACCATTATTTTGGGTTTTATTGCGTTCATAAAGCTTCCCTAATAGTTTTTAAAAATATGTAATCCGACATTTTGTGGCGGCCGACATACATCAAACATAATTAAAAACATTCCCGACTATTTCACCTTTAAAAAAAAAAGCAAAATGGTCTCATCCATTCGAAAGCTACCACAGATAGACACAAACAGACACACACACACAGACATGTCAAACTAATATAACCCTATCGTTTTTCGTCAGGTGACCTTCAAAACTATAGGATGAAATACAATAGTATATTGGTATCAATTGTTCTTCTATTGTAAAAGCCTTTGTGCTTTAATAGTCCAATTATGTTACTTAAGTTCGAAATAAAAAAGACACTTACTTTACAAAAAAGTATTTTACCTGAAAAATGTCGGTATCTATGGAATATCGGTGGCTATGGAAAATTCCATATAATTTAAAATTTCGCACGTGGCAATTTATATCAATAATAATATTTTAATTTCTAATCGCTTTTAAATAATACAAAAAAGACTATTATTGACAGCAAATATCGTGCAGTTTATATACATATATGTATATACACATGTGTATATACATATGTGTATATCGTATCTGTTTTCTGTTAGAGCGGATCACCATTATAAAGGTTATACTAATTTCCACTGTTGTTTCATGTTCATCGAAGTTTTCCTATCTTTTTTATGAAGCAACAATTTATTAATGCAAAAGCGATAATTACATAAACGTAAACACACAATATTTCCGAAGTATGCCATTATAGGGTATCTACGAAAATCTAGTCGTCTATCATTCTATCATTTTTTTATTTTATTTTTTTTATAATGATATGATATGATAACCGTCGCCTATAGACATGAGCAGTACCATGGACATAACTGAGTATACTGTTTCGCCCATGATACCCCACGATGTCAACCGTTATTTATCCACTGCCTCCTCCATAGACTGTCATAAGTAACGGAGCCGTTCTCTATGGCAATTTATCATTGAGAGGATTTCACCAGTAGTTGTCATGCTTATCAGGCGGGTTGGCAACCACAGTTTGGCTTTTGATGATGTTTTAAGTGGGAAAATGCTGCTCATCCTTCGACCATTAGGTACCCTTAGTCGTCTCTTACGACACCCACGGGGAAAAAAGGGATGGCCTATTTTATGCCACTTCTCTGGGAATGAATCATGGAAAGGATATAAGAAATCTCTGTAATTTACAAGGACGTTGTCCAGGTATAGAGCAACATTGTATTAATAGTACGTGAAGAAGGTTAGTGAAATATCCAACAAAGGAATATTATTACATTTTTCCAATGCTTAATTTTTTTCTTTGAGCCTTGAAGGCTACCTTATGTACCTTGATATTTTACCTTCATTGGCATGTAACAAGAAACATTAGCAAAAACTTTCTAATAATAAATGAGCTTACCTGGTGGAAATAATAAAAATATCACAGCTTCGCTCACATGAATTAAGAGAAATTGTTAATTTAGGATATGATTTCTTCTTCGTCTTGCTTTGAGAGAGGTATGTGCTGAAGGTTGAAGGCAGAGACTCTCAAAAGTTGAAAAACTGAAAACTATAAAATATTGTTGATTAACTAATTAGGCAATAATAAGCCTCTTTCTATTGAAGGGTTTGTCATGTGGTCCAGACATATAATAGGTCACCTTTACCTTTCTTTCCAGTGGGTGTCATAAGAAGCGACTAATGGAACAAAACGGTCGAGGGATGGACAGCAGCGTCTCTCTTAAAACATTTCCAATGCCCAACTCCGGTTGCCAACCCGCCTGAAAAGCGTAGCAACTATTGGCAAAACCCCCTAAAAGAGAGAGTGTTAACACTAATACATGCCTAGACAATGGCGGACCGGCATAAACGTAGTGGGTAGGCCGTGTAAATTATTACAACAGAACAGTCACCATACTACCCTGCAAATTGGATATTAATCGCTCGGTTGAGACGCCCTCTGTGTGACACTACACTTGACTACTACAAGACTGTCTTATTGTTACGTTGTGAATCTTATTATTATATATCTATTTTAGAGGAAAAACTAAAACTATTGAATGTATTAAAGGACTATTACTGCACCAACCGGTATTTTATTAATATTGTATCTAACAGAGAGGCAAAGTAATTTATTAAGTTAAAATACTTTAAAAATTTAATTCTATACTTAGATTCCATATAATAATATCTAATTAGCTAAGAACCCATTATTTACGTAATCCTCTTATTTTCATGCACCTTTCGTTTTTTCTACAACTTGTAGTGACAAACAAGTCGAGAGACGTTACTAATGGAAAATATAACTATTATCACTAGACATGAATAGCATATTAATGTCTATATATAATTAAATTATAATATAATTATCTTTTTACCCTAATATGCTGCTTTTCCCTGTTCACTCACTTCACTGTGTGCCCTCTAAAAAACTTTCAAACCGATGCAAGAGGAGCTGCATAGCGGGAGAAATACTCTCTAGACAAACAAGACAGATAATTTTAATTTTAATTTTTATTTGTCTTGTAATTTTAATAAAATTAAATATAAGTTTTTCATTTTATATTATAAGTAATGGAATAAATATAGTACTTTGATACAAACCGCCCAAAACACATACAAAATTCACAGATCTCGTATGTACCTTTGATTACATTGAAAATGAATCTGCCAATCGAACTGAATAAAATTTTATTATTAATATAATAAAGTCGTAAATATTCTATTCATAAAGTATTATTTGTTTTCATAGACCATTATTTTAATTTTCAAACAAGACTTTAATTTAAAAACATTTTTTTATAACACAGGAGACAAACGAGCATGCGGCTCACCTGATGGTAAGTAACTACCGCCGCTTATGATCATCCGCACTTAAAGATATTCGTACCTTGAACCTTGTTCCTTGAACAGTAAGGGAACTCTTCAAAGATTAATAGTAAGAATTAGCAGAATTGTCAGTAGATTTCACTTATACAGTTTATAAGGTCCAAACAAATAACACAATATATATATAAACGAACACACAATATCACTTGATGTTTAAATAAAATAATATTTAAATCATTTACTAATTTTCTATTTTCGTAATAAACGACAGTCAACAATTGCTAAGCAACATGCAATAGGTGTTACACCGCATTTAAATTTTGGACAAACCAAAAAGTATTAACATCCGCAACACCAGAGGCATTGCAGGTGTGTTGCTGGCCTTTTAAAAAGGAATATACTCTTTTCTTTAAGGTTATTATGTTGTATTGGTTCGGAAATACTGTTGTTGGAAGTTGATTCCAAAGAGTGGTTGTGCATGAACAAAAGTGCCTTGAAAAACGCACGGTCGAGGACCGCCACTCATTCAAATGGGTGGGATGGAACTGTAGTTTGTGGCGGGTTGTACGATGGTGAAAATCTGCAGCAGTTATCAACCCGAATATTTCCTCAGAGCACTATCCATGATAAATTCAATAGAAGATACACAGAGATACAACATCTCTATGCAATTTCAGTTGGTCGAGTCGAATAGTAAAGTGCTGATCATCAATAATTCGAGCCGTCTGAATTTGAATGCGGTTCAACGGAAGAAGCTGGTACCGTGGCGCTCCTGCCCATAGGTGAGAACAGTATTCCATATGTGGCATTACTTAAGCTTTATACATATTTATTGATTTAAAAAAAAATATTTCATCCTAAAACATAATCATCCTCCAAAACATTAATTCATCCTCACTACCACGCTAATCATATCTCTATGTTTTTTTTTTTAATTTTTTTTTCGATATCTCAGTTATTTTGAATATATGTTTTTTTTTCTGATCGAAAGCGGCCAAAAAATTACCGTATTAGTCACTTTAATGTCTTTTTAAAAAAAATATATCTTTAAATTTTTTTTGCATACGAGTATAACCCTCGTTGAGAAGCGTCTTTTATCCCAATTAGCTACACAGTCCCAAAACTCACGACACCAAGATGATGACTTTAGCTGAAAATCGGGCCTATATTGTAGCGTTAAAAAAACAACATTTTCAATGCTAAAAGATAATTTCACCTATAACTCCTTTGGGTAATTTATCTACATTAAATGTAATACAAATATTAAAATATGTAACTGAAAACATTGATATTCAAAATGTACTTCTTTATTATTGTTATCATGATTATTCTGTAATAAATAGTTTAACAACGTATCATGTATATTTTAGTCAGACAAAAATTAATCTGATTGGTCTTATATGACAACGCAAATTAAAATATATTCTCATAAAGTGCTGGTAGTATCGTCGTTACGGCGCTAGTTGATTTACTTAATTATTTGTTCAAAGCAAAATTTTACAATAGACATGAATCTAACTTCCCGAAAACGACCGTGCTTTTTTTCAATTCTCACAAAACACTTGGGGTCGACTATTGTATTATTTTATTACCTGCTTGTGCTATAACGGTTGGCTTATTCAACATTCAGTAACAGTTTGAACATTGGCTAGAATAGTTGTTTAATGTTTATTTTCTTCATAACTTCAATTCTTCTTTAAAACACTATGGATCGCCTGTGGATACTTGTGGAATGGGTGGATGGAAATAACGTATTCCCTGATTATGGTGTGGTGAACGTGGATCCATTGACTTATAATGATTACGACTTGACTCCTGGCAGAGTTATTTTAATTCGTGCCAGACACGAAACTACCGCTCGAACAGGAAAAATATTGACAATTTCTGGTAAGTGGCTATTTGGATTTGTAATTTGAGTACGTAATTCTACTTAGTTTGGTATATCTATTAAATTTTTAGAGTTTCAACCTTTATATACAAATGGGAATGACAGACATTCTAACGGCCTGGAAAATAGCGTCTCCCATAAGTAGAAACAACCACATGAATATTAAAAAAAATACTATGAAACCCATAATACTCTTAAGATGTTACAATTTCTGAGTACTATGACTCCCTACCTTGTAATTTTTCATTCATCATCATCAACATTTCAGCCATTATCTGTCTACTGCTAAACATAAGCCTTCCCCGTAAACTGCCCTAAGAACCATAACGGTCTCAAGCCATCTATATTTTTTATTACTGTTTTATAAATATCTATCCGTGCATCATCATTACGGACCATCTAATAACAGTGTATAAATTAAAAAAAATATGACCAGTTTCCAATTTTAAAAAATTATATACTAGTTAAACTGGCAAACATTGCTTGCCCCTTACTGCTACCTACTTGGTCCATTTTTTATCGGGATAAAACTACGTCGTGACAAAAATAGAGAGGATATCCCAATTAAAGGAAAAATTCTAATTTATGGTCTAATTAAAATAAAAACATTTATATTTACAGAAAGTAAATACAACATCAAAGCTCACAAGAGATTATTACAAAAACAAGACAGTCAAGTAAAAAGCGTCCTGTCTATGTGCATGCAAACTATCAAAGGCATTAAATCAGACTCCATGGTAAGTGAAAAAAAAAATATAGATACTATTAACTTTTAATGGGTTAATAAATAGAGCAAGACATCTAACAACGACCTTCCATTACGTTTAAAAGGTACGGACATGTTACATCATGTGTTAGTCATATGTAGAAATTCCAAATTGTTCAACGAGCTATGGAAAGGGCTACGCACAAGTAGTAACCGTCACCTATAGACATGAGCAGTACCATGGCCCATAACAGAGTACGCTGTTTCACCCATAATACCCCCTATGCGTTGCCACTCCTGGGGACTCAAGCGTTATTTCTCTGTACTGTATAAATTCACTGCCATATCCCACCTTTCAAATAAAACACAGCCATGCAAACAACTGCTTCACAGTAGACACACGAATAGGACAAAGGTGCCCAAGCAAACGAGTTTTGTACCAAGTCTCTCTCTGGTAAATAGTTCGTTCAAAATTAAAAAGATATAATTCTGGTAAAAATGAGTCCGTCCCTCAATTCCTTACCTGATGTACCTCGAAACCGCCAATATTGTAATAAAGTAATATAACCTTTAAGTAAAATAATCTTTGTTTGTTGTAGTACTTACCTGGGATAGAAATGAGTTCGTCCCTCAGTTCCTTACCTGGTGCACCTCAGATCGTTGCTGTTGATAATGACTCCACTAGCAGTGATAGCGACAGTGAGGTAACTATGCATTGTTTCAATACAGTTTAATGAAAAATTTTGTTGTAACAAAATTTTATTACAATTTTTTTTATACAACTTAGAATGGAAAACAAGCTGACGGCCCACCTGATTGAAAGTAGTAACCGTTGCCTATAGACATGAGCAGTACCATGGACATAACAGAGTATACTGTTTCGCCCATGATACCCCCCATGCGTTGCCATTCCTGAGGACTCAAATGTTATTCCTCAGTACCCTGTAAATTCTCTCCATATCCCACTCTTCAAACCAAAACACAGCGATGCAAACAACTGCTTTATGGTTGAAACAAGAATGAAACAGAGATACCCAAGCAATCGATTTTTGTACAAAGTCTATTAATAAAAGTTTTTAGTTCCGTTAAATTCTTTTATATACTTGTGTTGTGTATTATGTAGTATGAGCAAAAACATCGACAACAAAGTAAATAGGTCTTTTGAGCGAATGAGCATTAAAATTTATAATAACATTCCGAAATATATATTGGATTTATCTTACACTAAATTTAAAAGTTTTATTAAAAAAAATTGAATGAATTATGCCCAATTATCGTATATACAAACAATTACTTACAAGACAAACCGACTTGGCTCTAAACTTTTAGTTACTTAGATTTTAAACGTAAACAACTGAACCAACTTTGATAAAATTTTTATGGGACCAATTTGTAAGTATGCCCTTTCAGATAAAAAAAAACAATATTCCAAATCGGTTTACAACTGACGCAGTTATGAGGTAACAAACAGTAAAAAAACACATACAACCGTATTGAGAACCTCCTTTTTTTTAAGTCGGTTGATGATATTTACAATAATGAACTTAATTTGTCCAACAATTTAAATGTGTGCTATTTGCTAGTCTGTGTTGACACAAATTTATAAGTCAACCTTTGTTAAAAAAAGCAATTTAAGTTTTTGCTCGTTCTTCTCAACTGAAATTGTATTCCGAATGGGCGATAAAATCATATAATATAATTGAAACGACTATTCAAAAATACTCGTAATTAAGTAAGCGGATTCTAATGTCTCTAGTCTGACTGACTCTGAGTGATATTTTATATTCAAAAACTTTTTTTATCATAAACAGATTCTAAATTTAATATCATGTAACTGTAGTATAATTTCTGAGGGTCAACTCGAATTTAAGACAATCTGCTGATATCCAACAACAATATAAATAAAATATTGATATATAAATTAAATATTTCGATTTATTACTGGTTTAAAGAGTGTTTCTATATATCAACAAAAATTTATTACATTTTTACTAAATTCTATTGAAAAAGTCTATATTAAAATTCTAGCTATCATACTTTGACAGACATCCAGGAATGTATTGTTAATTTTGTTTGTCTTCATTTCAGCCTCCCCGACGCTTATATTCGAAAAGATCATTAGGTTCTCAATCTGTTCACAAGTTAATCGATCAATCTGGAAGTAGCCGCCGTAATTCAATTGCTCATAGCAGTACTACAACAATATCGATGCATAGCAGTACACCTCTTTCAATGCTAAAACCAGAAGTATCGAACAAAAAAAAAGTAACAAAGGCCGACATAGCGACGCAGACAGAAAACCAAGACTCAGAGATAGATCTATTAGAGAATAATCTTAGAAAACTATATAGTTTATTTTTATCAGTCATAGGACGACTTGAGATTCAAAAAGCTGCTGAAACTGTAATAATGGATCGAACGATCATGAGAGATTTGAAAAAACATATTTCAAGCGAAGCCATCGCGAGGAACGTGAATAATATGAGTCTTGATGAAATTCTTGACGAGTTGAAAACTGCAATGTCGGAGAGGGATCTCATAGCTCGCCGGCTGCAGGACGAGTTAGAAGCGACACCAGCTAAGCGGATTTGTGATGCGCAGTCTAACGGGATTCCCGTAACACCACCTTTACAAGAACACATATATTGCGCGCAAACGATGAATAATGATATTGATACAAGAAATTCATCGAGTGATGAAATGGTAAACAATTAAAATGTTATTATTATACAGAGTGAAATTGAGTCAATAACATAGGTCCTGCTGTCAAGCTTATATGAGAAACATAATTTTTTTGTCATATTTGTTTGAGCAAAATTATTATCCTTAAGAAAACATTCCTTTAAAAGGACGCTAATAATTTCAAATTTGATCTGGTATAGTACCTATCTAACGAATCAGCAATCGGATTATTATTATACCTAGACACTATAAAACCGTGCGAAACCTGATTTTATACCTTAAATTAAATTAAATTAGTAAACCTATCAAAAGTACTAGTATGCTATCAAGTTAACAATTAGGGAATGCAATCCAATATTATAATCTGATCGGATCTAGCTAGATTCGAATCAGGAATTGATTAAGTCAGAATAATTTTCCCTTTTCGTTTGTTAGATAATCGAGTGAGTGTAGTTTATAAAAAAACATATATGAAATCAACTTCCGATGACATAATTAGATAGCGAATAAACAAAAAATTAAAAATATACCGGATCCGATGAACGAATACGGTATATTGGAAACGATTCCGCCGGAATATCGGAATCGATTTTCCAGATCGCAATCCTTATTAAGAATATTTTATGTTTATTATTTGTCTATAAAACCATTGACGAATAGCCTATCATTATGTATACTGGAATGATATTTATATACTCGTGTACGATGTAATAACAATATCATATTTAAATTATATATATATATATATATATATATATATATATATATATATATATATATATATATATATATTATACGTGTACTACGTCTTTATCATGTTTTACAACTATTACATTTTTACAGGTATCAATAGGAAGCGGATATGCTACAATACCCGCTAGATTTTTAAATGAAATTGATTGGAACTCATATACTACAGCAACAAGGCAATTACTGAAGTCTGTCTTTTCACGCAAGTATGTCTTACAACACTAGTCCTATACATAAATCATTCACTCACGATTCCCTCCAAAACCATTCACTCACAATTTCCTCCAACTACTGGAATCAGTAGTAAACAGTAAAAATACAAAAAAAAAATAACAGAAATTCTCATTGAGTAAATCATGGGCGGCCTTATCGATAAAAACGATCTCTTCTAATCAACTGTTAGACGGAATAAGAAGTATATATCACAGTACAATTTAATTAATTTTATTATATTTATTTTTTCAGAGTTTTAGCAACGCACTCTCTTACTGGAAAACGATCACCGGCCTTTGCAGACAAGCCAGCAAAAAAGCGTTTAGACCCTAAATTAGTGGATGATATTGTTAAAACAGTATCATTGAGGTGTGGAGTCCCTGAACGGCTAGTAAGGTTTGTAATAGTAATATTATAAAAAGAAATTGTAAATCTTGAAATTAGTTGCTTCTAACTTAAAAAGCTGAAATCCAATATCACGAATTTGAACAAGTTTTCTTAAAAATTATAGCCGATACTTATTAAATTTAAATGTTGTTTATTAAGATCAGATAAACCAATCGTATCGTTGTAAAGACTGGAATATGATTAAATAATTAATATAATTTCCTGGGAGATGGCCCTAGTAACTTGAAGACTCTACTGTGAAGGAATTATGATAAATAAAACAATAATTCATATAGAAATTTAAACTTTATTTATAATTGTTATTAAAAATTACAGAACACGTAATATTAAACTTTAAAAAAAAAACTAGGACTGGTCATCTCTCCCAGAGTGTCCAGGAGTAATGGCCATAGTGGCAAGGGGGAGATGTCCAGTACTTTTTTTGCTTTCTCTTTGCCCTTGAGATCTCTTAATTCCTTTTTTTTTTTCTTATTACCGCATTGTGAACACATATCCTCAAACTCAACACTCAATGGCTATCTGACTATGTAGCATGTAGTAAATATTAACGTTACTATGTTTCAATACTTATATAAAGTTTTAACAATAGAGATAGAGTGATGACTTTAAAAATGAAGGAAGTAGTCAATGGAAGTAGATAACTCAAACAATAATTTTTGTAAAGAGCTGCGCCTCGTCATAAGACCTATGTAACCTGTATTTATATAAATTTTACAGAAACAGCATTACCGTGAAATGTACAGACGAAGCCAAATTGTACCGGAACCGACAATTCTACAGGCATGCGCTTCGCGAAAGCAGGCAAAATAACGAAAATATCTCACCGGAAACAAGTATTTCGTCAGTTGAATCTTTAGCTATCCACTAAAATATATACCAAAATGTATAGGTACATACTTTTTGTATTTTCGACAACATCTCAGAGTCGGTCTTAGCCGATATGGTGCTCATGAGTCATCACTTTTTTGTTAGTATCCTAAAGAAGATCACCAGGGGTGTCGAGTGAGTTAAACTACTGGAGAAGATATTGCATTGAAACGTCGCTCCTTGCGCCTCTTGGATCTCGGTGCCGATGGACACCGCACTACCTAAGATCTGTACTGATCTTATTGTAAAACAATTTTTAATAGTCAACATTGTACTTGTAGTTAGACTTTAATGCTCAGTTTATTAATGAACACCAGCAGAGATTGTTTTATTCGTGTATAATGTTTTATTACATTTCAGTTATAACTTTATAGGCTTATTTACTTTAGTAGTTCTGCTACCCATTGATAAATTGCGTTTCACTTATTCTATGTTTCAAATGGCATATGCGTTAAAATAAAATATTATACATACTCTTATCCTGTTATATAAACTGCCCCTATGTAATTTTTTTTTTTATGAATTACGTTAGTAGTAACACTGTACGTCAGATTTAAATTTCTACCTAATTCTATTTATTTTACGCGAATCGATATCATAATTGAAATACGGCAGCGCACCTGCAATGCCGCTGGTGTTGTGGGTGATCATGGGCGGCGGTAGTCACTTACCATCAGGTGAGCCGCATGCTGGTTTGTCCCTGTTGTAAAAAAAAATGAAATCGCTTATGATATGCAAAATAAGTAACTTATTGACTAGTAAAAATTGTTAAATTGACTTTATTGTCTAAAGGAATGATATCAAACGATCTAATCCAAAGGTAGTTAATATGTCGTTACTATATTTAAGTATAAATTCATAAATATTCTGAGATGGTTTAATATTTTAATACTACATAATAGCGTTAATTCATAATAATCAATTATAATGTTTTACTAACAATAACTTTCAATTAATAAAGTTTTATTATTATAATCGCTTTATTTTTTAAATACATATAATTTTATTTTTAAACACAATAACAATGTAAGTACCTCAGATGTACCTGTGTGCATCTAATATATATGTATATATATATATATATATATATATATATATATATATATATATATATATATTTTATTCTATGTATTAGAAAAAAATCTTCCTATAAAAAAATCCTCTCTAAACATTTAAAAGATTTATGAACGGTTCTAAAATTCATATAAAATTTCAGCCTCAATGCGTCTCCAAGATAAAGTGTAAAAAAACTAATATTCAAATATTATATTATCCTTAATATATGGATGAAGATGATGAAGAGGATAATAAGGATGAAGATGATGATGAATAAGGATGAAGATGATGATGAAGAGTCTATCGTGGTACGAATGTCGGAACCGATCACTTTTTGGTGATATCGAGAATAGGTGGCTTATTCAATAAATGGCGACATCGTCCACGTGTTCGTATGTCAGAAATAGAAAGAGTAAGAGTAGAGAGACTGACAGAAGAACAGGTTCGAAATCAGTATCAAGAAAGATTGAATGAAAGATTTAGAGAGCTACTGAAGAAAGATAACTATGAGATAGAAGAATTTTGGAAGGAATTTAAATGCGGAATCTTTGATATAGCTACTCAAGTTTGTGGTGTAAGTAAGAGGAAGGATGTTAAGATGAGAATGAATGTATGGTGGGATGGCGAAGTGAAAGAAATGGTGGCTCTAAAGAAAAAGGCATGGATGGATTTGTTAGCTACCAGAGCTAATAAGAGAATGCAAGGTAATGTAAGTGACATTGAAAAAATTGCAAAAGAGAAGTATGATGTAATGAAAAAGAAAGTTAAAGAATTAGTAAGCAAAAAGAAAGAGGAATGTAAGGATGAGTACGAAAGGAAATTCTCTAGAAATTTTCGAGCTAATCAAAAGCTTTTCTGGCATTTAGTTCGAACAGCTAGAGGTAAAAAGAGAGATCCGAAAATGGGCGTGATAAGGGATATGGATGGTAATGTTATCACGGAACAAAAGGAAGTCTTAGATCATTGGAAGAGATATTTTGAAAGTTTATTTGAACGTGGAAGTGAAAGAAAGAATGTTGAAAATGAAATAATGGACGAAGAAGTTGACAGTGAAAGTGATATAAGTATGGATGAAGTAATGAATGCAATGAAGATTATGAAATTTGTTAAAGCAGCGGGATTCGATAGAATATCTGCCGAAATGCTTAAAGAAGGTGGAGAAATCATTGTAAACCTTCTGTGTCTGCTGTTCAATAAATGTTGGCGGTCCGGTTGTGTTCCAGGTGACTGGAGCAAAGCTGTTATTGTGCCACTATATAAAGGCAGCGGGTCACAGCAGGAGTGCAAAAATTTCCGCGGAATAAGCCTTCTTAGTGTTGTAGGCAAATTGTATGCTAGGATTTTGATTAAAAGAGTGATGAACGAGACGGAAAGTAAAATTTGGGATGTGCAAGCAGGGTTTCGAAAGGGTATGGGATGTACGGATCAAGTCTTTTCCTTAAGGTGCATAACAGAGAAAACCTTAGCTCAACATCAGAAGGTTTTCTGCGCCTTCATTGATCTTGAAAAGGCTTATGATAGAGTGGAGAGGAATGAACTGTGGTCAACACTGGCAATGTATGGGGTGAGCAACCATTTGATACGGGCATTCAAATCTTTATATAAGGATTCAAATGCCTGTGTCAGAATAAATGGAGTCTATACAGACTGGTTTGGCATTGAACGCGGTGTTAGACAGGGCTGTGTAGCGTCTCCTTGGCTGTTCAACCTATTTATGGACAGTTGCTTGACCGATTTGAAAGGATCTAATTGTGGATTCAGGATGAATGAGTCTCTGTTTAAGACTCTTTTATACGCCGACGACCAAGTACTTTTTGCATCGTCGGAGTATGAATTACAACAAATGGTGACTATAATGAATGAAGCGTATGCAAGAAAAGGTATGAAAATAAATGCGAAGAAGACGAAGGTAATGGTTTTTGAGAGGAATGAAAGTTTAACGGCATGCCAGATTATGATAGGAGATGAAAAAGTGGAGCAAGTGAGTGAGTTTCTATATTTAGGTTCTTTGTTTACGAGGGATGGGAAGTGTGACAGAGATATTGAGAGGAGAGTAAAAGCGGGAAACAGTGTTAACGGTGCACTGCTCTCGATTATGTCAAGTAAAAATGTATCGAGCAAAGCTCGCCTTGCTATAATTCAAGGAGTACTGACACCAACACTCATGTATGGAAGCGAATCGTGGGTATGGCAGAAGAAGCATGAAAGTAAGATAAATGCTGTACAGATGAGAGCTTTGAGAAGTATGTGTGGTATTACTTTAAAAGATAGAGTAAGAAACAGTGTGGTTAGAGAGAAGTGTGGACTGAAAGACGATGTAGTGACAAAAATTGAAAAAGGAATGTTGCGTTGGTTTGGTCATTTGGAGAGGATGGATGAAAGAAGAATTACGAAAGAGATTTATCGAGCAAGAATGAATGGAGATGTCGGTAGGGGCCGCCCTAGACGGACGTATGTCGACCAAATAGGCGACGTGCTGAAGAAGGGCCAAATTAAAAGTACCCGTAACCGACGAGCGTGTATGACAAGATTGATGAATGTGGAAGAAGCGAAAGAGGTTTGTTTGAATCGAAGCATTTGGCGTTCCATTGTTTCTGCCTACCCTAATGGGAGACAGGCGTGACAGATATGTATGTATGTATGTATGGATGACTTCGTACAGCGCCATTTGCAATGAAGTGGCAAAAGATAGAACTAATTAATAATGGTAATTTTAGTTCTTAAATCGCTCTATCGAGGTACTGAGAACGTAAACTGTTTGCGATATACTAATCATATATTTATAGATAAAAAATAGTGTCTTTCTATGTTATTAGAGCGAATGGGCAGGTAACACTAATTCTATAATATGAATACTTAGATTTACACGAATAAAGCTGAATTTTATATAGCTAGTAGGTACCAACCGACAAACAGTTCTAAATTGATCAGAATGAAACTAAATTGTAATGTGAATATATACGTTGTTTCTTAAGTAGCTAATACATAGATTTAACGTACTAAGATTTTATAAGACCGAGAGTAGCACTATAATATAGATCCGACCTTAACCTTACAGCCCTGCTTCTGCAAGATTTGTCATAGAAAGAGAACTGCAGTTACTATGCTTAATCTATTACTTCAGTCCTTTTTATCTATTACTTCCTTCCTTTCTCTTTGGTCAGTAGCTAAGAACTACGGAACAAGGAATTACAATTTAATCTGTGGTCAGCAAGTGATTACTAATTTTGTCTGTATTGTCACTGTCATTATTCATTTTTTTCGTCTAATATTTTTAAGGTTAAATAACGTGTTGTCTAGTATATTTATTAATTTACAATGGATGATAATGAAGAAACTGATTTTGTAGCTTCGGAACATGGTCGACTTATCAGTGCAGTGTCCAAATTAGATAAAACGCAACATATAACTGAACCTACACGAAACGAACCAACTAAGTCAAATTCTGAATTTAATTTGATTAAAAGATCTAACAAATTGAACCTCAGTGATGTAGCAAAAATCTTAGAAAATACAGCACATCATGTACAAATAAGTAAAAAGTTGAAAAACAGTCAGAGCATATCCACTATACTGCCAAAACCTTTAGAAAAACCTCAGGCTGAACGCATCAAAAGGACAACGGGTTATGAACAAGCCAAGGAAAAGGTTGGACGATGGGACGCTGTGGTGGCTCGGAGCAGAACTCTGGATTACGTGACATTTCCTCTTAGAAATGTTGCGCCCAAACTTCAGCCCACAAATGAATTCATATCAAAGTTTAAATTGAAGTCGCCACTGGAAAAAGAGCTAGAACAGATAGATCCTCCATTTGAGGAAGAAGAGGCAGAAGAAGAAAAAATATTCCCTATGTCATATTTAGAAATGGTGGAGCAACGGCAACATATAGCTAAATTAAGGGCACAGCAATCATATAAAGCAGCAAAAGCTAAAAGACAAAGTAAAATAAAGAGCAAGAAATATCATCGGTTAGTATTTATAATTATCATATAATTTCTATTATGAAAACCTTAAATTGTAGAATTTAATATATTTTTTGATGGTTGCGGGATTGATCCCTGCACAATGTTTATATTCATAAGCTTGTTTTATTAATTGTCTAGTATGCTTAATTCAAGCTTTACTTATTTTGGGACAAGATGGCAAACTAATATGTCCAATTATATTCATAATTTTTGTCAGCCCTTAAAACAACCCACTGGCTAAAATATTCTTTGATCCGCATTAACATGGCAATATTTAAACCATTAAGTGATTCAATTGACTTTAATGAATAATTTGATATTAATAGAGTTGACTAATAGGATAATGATTTTGTTTTGGTGATACTAATATTGTCAGAATTGAATTAAGTTTTTACAGAAAAAAAAATCAAATAACAGTGGCTGTTTACCAACAAATGGGCCTACTTGTTTGCCACTTTTGTGATTTAAAAAATTATAATGTTTAAAATATTAAGTCCTATTACTTATAATTTTTTTTATTATAATTATATTTGGATGTTAGCAATTTGTTGAGTGAATTTTATTAATATTTAAAATTAATCTATATTTTAGTATATTGAAAAAAGAAAAACTAAAACAGCAACTGAAAGAATTTGAAGAGTTACAAAAGATAGATCCTGAAGAAGCACTTAAAAAATTAGAGGCACTTGAAAAAGCTAGAGCTTTGGAAAGACATACACTAAGACACAAAAATACTGGTAAATGGGCAAAAAATCAAATGGTTCGAGCTAAATATGACAAAGAGGTATTACATGTTTATTATTAATATATTGATAAAATTATTCAAATTTTAAATCATAATCATATAATGTAATCATTTTTCTATTTTTAGGTAAGACAACAAATTGCAGAACAACTTGCAGTCAGCAGAAGTTTAACAAAAAAAGTAGAAGATACTGAAAGTACAGATGAAGATGGTGATAATGATGTAGTCATACCAGACATTTCTTTAGCACAAGATCCAATGAATCCTTGGATGATGCAAAGGTCAGATAAATCAAATGTTGATGCTAATTTTGATTTTGGCTACAAAAAATATTTAAAAAACCGAATGTATAAGCGGAAAACTGATAGTGACACTGACTCACATGATGAAGATACCAATGAGGATAAAAATAAAATCGACATTTTAAAGAAAAGTATTGAAAAAATGAATCATGGAATAGAGCAAGAGTCTTATGATTTAAATAATGAAAACAATATAAATAATTTTGAACAAGAGAAAAATACAAATAACAAAAACAATGAGCAACCTATTGTTAAGAGTACTGAAAAGAAAAAGACAAATAAAAGAAAGCAACAATTAATAAACCAACCACAAGAAATTAAAACCAAAATTGCCACAAATAAACCAATAGCTACTTCAAGTTGGGTTGTTGAATCACTTGTCAATCTTCAAACAGAAGAGATACAGAATACTAAAGATGAAATTATATCTGCATTTGATACTTTGGAAAATGATATGGTAAATAAAGTAGAAATTAAATTAAAGGACCTTAGGAAAAGTATTGAAAATTTAGAAGAAAAAGAAAAAAGGAAGTCTGTTTTTGAAAAACTGGAGAAGAAAAAGAAAGAAAAAGACAATGTTGAATATTTGAAATTCAAACAACAAAAGAAAAAAGTAATTATTGATGAGAATTTAATTGAAACTAGCACAAAAACTGATGATGCTGAAAATGATGGTAATATTAAATCTATTCCGTTTAATAGCAACACTCAAGATAACACAAATATGAATATAGACCCTAGTAGATTTATTGAAGTTAAACCAAAGTATCTAAATAGTGTTCTGCCAAAAGGTAATGATGAATTAGATCAGTTAGATGATGATGAACAAGTAGTTCCAAAAGTAAATATTGAAGAAGTATTTGAAGAAGATGATATTGTAGCTAGTTTTAGACAAGAGAAAGAAGATGAAGTAAAAAAAGATCAACCAGAGGATATTGATTTAACTCTACCAGGTTGGGGTAGCTGGGGTGGAAAAGGTATTAAACCTCGAAAACGCAAAACAAATAGGTTCATTCTTAAAGCTCCCCCAAAAATGCCACGCCGTGATGACAATAAAGGTGATATTATAATCAAAGAATTTAAAAATCCAAAATTGACAATCCATAAAGTAACTGATGTCCCATTCCCCTTTGAAAGTGTTAAAGAATATGAAGCTTCAATCCGAGCCCCTATTGGCAATACATTTGTGCCAGAAAAAGCACATAAAATGTTAATACGTCCTGCTGTGATTACAAAAGCAGGTACAGTGATTGAACCAATGGATGAGGAAGAATTGATTGAACGAAAAAATGTTATATTTAATAATAAAAATGTTATTAAACTTTTGGCAAAGAAATAAAGTTTTAAGTATGCAGTAATTTTTTTATTTTAACTTAATTACAATTTATTATTATTAAATACCAACACGCACTGGAGGAGACACTAATATAACACCATCACCTCTCACAAATAGCATTGGTATATTTCTCTTTGTTGTTCTGTAAACTTCTTCATAGGTTTCCTCATCAATTTCCACTGTAGTTATGGTTTCTTCTGCATCACCAAGTACCATATTTAAATGCTGATCATAAGCCTGCATTGAAAAAATATTATTTTCGAAACTATTTATCATCAATACTTACAAAATCTTTATGCAACACTTTTAAGTGGAATATATAAATGTTATTGAGAATTAAAACAGACAAAGTCTTTGTACAATAATTATCTGCATGGTTACCTCCGTCTCACTCATGATTTCGAGGTGGAGCAACTGTGCTATTAAACTCTACTATTATAAATTCCTTTCCATTGGGGGAAGAAATTGTTAGTAATGTGGACTACCAATCCCATCACTAACAAAATTTCCCTGTCAAACTGATAGCCATGTGGTCCCCACTGAAAACCATGGTGCTTAATTCCAGGTGTATTCATTATGACAGACTAATTAAGGTTAATTAGTCTGGTAAAGGTAGGTACCTTTTCATTCTCAGCTATCATCACTCACTGATGCCCTGCCAACATATCCCATTTGAGGTGAGGTTACCATGAAGTGAGTTTAGTTATTACCTTATATACCTTAATAGCTTCACCAATCACTATGAAATTTGGTATACACATACTATATGGGATTGAGAAGGATATAAACAACTATTTATCCCGGTCATACAGATAAAAGCTAATAAATCATATTTTAACTATGCTCACATGAAGTTTGCCTCTCAATTCCCGTTCATTTCTCATTTTCACATATATTCTTTCATCAAGACTTAATCTAATCAAATCCAGAGGTTCTTTCACTGTCATTACAGCCACCTGAAAATGTGACATTTTATAATTTAGTAAAGTCCATACAAGAGTTTTTATATTACATTTAATAATTTTATACAAGTAAGAAAAGATATGTTTATATTACTAGAAATAAAAAATATATTTCTTACATCAGCACTATTACTACCTTTTATGATAAATACAGTGTCATTTCTTTTGAAAACGTTTAAGAAATATTTATCCCAAGAAAAAGCAATATTTATATATAGATGATATAGTTATTTGGTAATTAATGCTCCATTCTAATCAAGGTTTGTTGGAAGACAACTCTTATAGTGTTAATTTGCTTGCTTGTTATACACCTTTATTCAAAATAAATTATGACCATGTAATTTTTGTCTGCAATAAACTATATTTAAATAAACAAATAGTTTTATCATGTAGGTTGATATATTTCAAAGAATAACATATTTAAGCTTATGGTTCCCTTCCATTTCTTTTTTGGTTTGTATAGAGCCTAGTGAATACTATCTAGTCAAAGGTATACCTACTTTTGACATCTATCAAATAAATAAAAAAGCAATAAGAGTTTTGTGAATACATAAGTAGCCAAACTAATCAATACAGTACATTTTTACTTTAACTACCTGATTATTTTATAGATTATTATTTCGATATAAAGATACCCCAAGTACTTCTAACCGGTTGGGACTTTTTATATTAAATTCTGGCATTATTTATTGGCTATAGTAATTATAATAAAATGATACATATTCCAAAATTCTATATAATTATTTCAGAAGTTAACAGAAAATAAAATTATTATTTGTGATTCTTGAATCACACTTATATACATAAATTACTTACGTTATCACCGTCATCAGCCATTATTATAAAAAATATAATATGGTCCGAACGACAAAATGTTAATGGGTAGTTTTAAGAAGTGTGTGAATGTTATATCAAATATAGAAGCAAATCTGATTTGAAGATATTTTTAAGAATTTAAAATTTTTCAAAAACGAAGTAAAGAAACAAAGAGGTTATTTTTAATGTTGTTGTTATGAAAATATGTTTTTAATTAAAAAATAAGGTAGACTTTGACTTTGGATACGAGTACTGTTCTTACGTGTCGCATTGTTAAGAATCTATTACATGAACATGAACTATGGATATTCTTTTGATTTACTAATGATCTAATAATGTTTATAACAAGATAAGGCAATGTAGTTATTTGTTAATTGTCAAAAATAATTTAACATGTTTTTGTCTGATATTAAAATCCAAATTTGTAGTAAAAATTTTATAAGTATATTATTCTCTATTCTCATTACAATTCCTTGTTCATAGTACATTACTTGATGTTAGAAGTATAAACTTCATTAATGCTTGTAAGCGATAACTGAAAGATTATCTTTTCTCTATCTGATTGGTTTTTCATTTGATATACTGGTATTCTATATCTATGTATTTATTTAATTATTTATGTTAATTTGTTTTTCTTGTGCCTGTAATTATATATATTTATTCTAGTATTAGATATATATTTAATATATAGGTATAATATACAGTAAATGATAATGTATTTAAAATAAAGTATACTTATTTTTTATTCACAAACAATGAATTTAAAATTGTTTAATTGTTTTTGCCACTATTTTTGTTACCATACTTCGTTTATAACGCTCTTAATACAGCGCAGTATAAATTTGTCAACCTGTTTTCGATGTGTAGACTTGCGCCGTTTTAAATTTATATTGTACTATGTGAAACTCATAAAGTCTTGCAAATGACGGAGAAATATACATACATATTGTACATGTATTTTTCTCCGTATATATTGTATAAATGTATATAAAATTGTGTGTGTGAAAATAAAGAAGTTATATAGTAAGTAATCATATGTCTGTGGCAATCATTGATGTTGCTTCTATAGAGTAATTTAGGAATTAAAATGTCTATAATTAGTTTTGATCAACATTTCAAACCCAAAAATATAATTTTTGGTTTTTGAATCGGTTGCCATTATTTTTTTTTTATTTATTTAACAAATTTATATTTAATTATATTTGTATATGTAATAGCCTGTTGCCTTTGTCGACTTGTAAATCGATTAGAAGACTAATGCTTCTTGACAATCTCTAAGGAATTAAAGTTAAAATTTTGTACATATTCGCGTATTTATTATTTAAATTTGAATACTTGAGCCTTCAAAATATTAATTGGTTTCAATGTAATAATTTTCTCTGTCGATTCACATATAAAATATTTGATATGCTTCTAAATATTGTTTTTAAATAAGTAAAATGTTTCAAACATATTTATACTTAAAAAATGAAATTATGTTTTCTCTGTTATTTACATTACATTCAAATAAAGCACACTTCATTCTAACTAATTACATTCACTTAAAATTTCACTTGAATAAGTAAAAATTATTTGAAATTATTTTGTTCCTACTCCGCGAAAACAACCTCGAGCTTAGGTTGTGCAAATTATTATCTTATTACGTCTCCTGCTCTAACATACAGGTATATTTTCTGTATCGTACATTGCCAACCTATATAATTTATAAATCTAAATTTAACCAATATAATTAGTATAACGTACTTCAGTTTTTTTCTATAATTTTTTTTTTATTATCATAAATTTGGTACTATTTTTAATGTTTGATCTACAGAATTCATGGCTGTCAAATGCTGGCATTTGTTGTCATGTCAGACTAAATTGTCAATTGTTGTCAACAAAATAAATGTGAACTGAAAGCGTGCCACGGTTCCACGATCAAAAATTAAACCAACCATTTAAAATTTCCTAAAAATAGTATTTTTTTCTGTTGACAGAGCATTATATATAATATTGTAATAATGGTTCGCAGCGGGTACGTTCTTTATTGTGTATAGTTATATATTTGTCTTTAGGTAGAGACATATGCGTTTGGCGTCGTAACTATAATTTTGCTTATATTCGTTTAAATGTTTTAGGCGTGATCGTGATCGGGATCGCGATCGCGAACGGAGACGGTCTCACAGTCGATCCGCGACTCCAGATCGCAAACGGCGCAGATCTCGTTCAAGAAGTCGTGACAGAAATTCGAAGTCGTCTAAAAGGAAACGTAGCCGCAGCAGGGATCGGGATTCTAAAAGAGACCGAAGCAGAGATCGAGATAGGGATCGTGATCGGGATCGAGATAGGAAAAGGTAAAAATTATCACTTATAATTTGATTGTTTTTATACTATATCCTTCATATTCATGTTTAGTAAAATATAGCTATATAGGATTTTTATTATACTATTTAGAATGTCAAACAAAGTGTTTGAATATTTTAGATATTAAAAGCATAATGGACATCAGTTGATTTTCTATGTAGCTCATAGTGCATTCATGCTATGCTGTTTTTAATGTTTATGTTTGGATACCATGTCTATATATTAATTTCATTGCTATATTTCACACTTCAAATAAGAACAGTCATATGCATTTGCTTGACATAGAATTATCATTAAACGCAATATTAAATATAATTAATATTGCGTTTAATGATAAGGGCACCTTTTGTAATTGCATATTCTGTATCAATGTTCTATTTATAAATCTATTTTGTGTGTAATAATGTGTTTATTATTTTATTATGATTAGCATGAGTTAAATGGTTGTATAATATAACCATTTAAGGTAAACACTACTTTTCTTAATTTTTTAAATTAGTTATTTTGTGGAATATAAACTATTATTGTATTGTAATTATTTATGCCAGTTATGCAGCTATGTACTGCTAGAGTGGACCATGTCATCAAAGTGGGCATCCTGGAATTTAAAATGAGTAAAGCTGATATGGCTGTGTGGTCCTGGCATAGAGTAGGCCATCCCTTTCTATCCAGTGGGTGTTGTAAGAGCCGACTAAGGGAGGGCGAGTGATGAGCAAAAGCTTTCGTTTTAAAACATCTCTAAAGCCTGCAATGACTGCAGTTGTCAATCTGCCCACCAAGCGCGGCAACTAGTGGCTAAATCCCCCAAAGGGGAGGCTTATGTTCAGCAGTGGACAGTTAAAGGCCGATATGATGAAAGCTGATATAAATAATTACAATTATTATTATTTTTACCATAGGGAGACTTTGTACAAAAGTAATTTGTTTGGGTACCTCTGTTTAATTTTTGTTTCAACCATAAAGCAGTTGTTTGCATGGCTGTGTTTCGGTTTGAAGGGTGGGATATGGTGTGAATTTACAGGGTACTGAGGAATAACATTCTTGAGTCCTCAGGAAAGGCAACACATGGGGGTATCATGGGTGAAACAATATATTCTGTTATGTCTAAGGTACTGTTCATGTCTATAGGCGACGATTACCACATTCCATCAGGTGGGCCGTCAGCTTGTTTGCAATTCTAAGTTGTATACAAAAAAATTTAAATGATTATAATATTATTATATTTTACAAATATTTTTATTTAGTGATAAACGAGATGATAAAAGAAATGGGTCAAGCAGCAAGTCTTCTAGAAAGAAGTCACCAGAACGAGAAAAAGACAGATCAAAATCAAAAGAAAAAGCAATTAAGTCTGAATCTGGTGAATATGATCCAGGTACTGTTGACAAGGTCAGTATAGTTTAGTTTCTCAACCTTATTTTGCCCACCTACGCTAATGTTTTTTTTTTTCTAGAGTCCATTAAATTTTTTTTTTACATTTTAATTTTACATACTGTCTGTAATTTTTAGATTATATTTTTAATCTGTTCATGACCTATTTACACCATCTCAATGATGAATGATCTCATTTCTTGTCTCCTTAATTTTCTATTGGTCTTCTACTGTCTAACTGAATGGCTCAAATGTCCACAACCGATGTAATCCTGCACATAGAGAACCTATGATGTAGTCTATATTGAATAATACCATAGACCCATTATTTTTATCATATTATTTATATTATGTATTTATTATATATTATATTTACAAATTAAAAATAATACACAAAGAAAATAAATTTTTAGATTGATCACCTTGTTTGTTCTTAAGATTAAGTGAATGGCTAGTTAAAAGATAATAAACAGCGATACACTGCCACATTCATAGTATTTTATTATAGTTAGTTTCATCTTTTTGTATTATGTCTGTCCCTGTGATTTACATATTTATATAATAATATATTTAAAGTTACTTTTATATTATTGCGAAATTTGTTTAAAAGTATATTTTTGTGTATTTATAAAACTTGTATGAGCAGAGCTGTTTCATGTACATAAGATACATGTGTATTCAAGAGTGATTAAGTGTGGAAATATATTAGTTCATTTAAACTCACAATAGGAGGAAGAACAGAGTCGATTAGAGGCTGAAATGCAGAAGCGACGAGATCGTATTGAGCGTTGGCGCGCTGAACGGAAACGCAAAGAGTTAGAGTCAGCGAAGAAGGAAGTGCAGAAAGGTAGCATTGTCAGCAACATACAGATGCCTGCTAAGAAGTGGTCACTTGAGGATGATTCTGGTGATGAAGGTACAAAAATAATCATAACGTAACTAACTGATTCAAAAAACATAGTTCTTTTTAAATTACAAATTTTATTTTACAACTCAAATTGTTCTACATATACTCACCATATACTTAATGTGTGGAACATTAACTGTTCGATAAATGATAGTTTCTAGGGGGAACTGCATGGAGGTCGAACTGATAGGGTATATTTATAGCAATGGGGTCTAACCTCCCCATTACTAACAATCCCTTCCACCCAGAAGTGGCCTACTCTATGCCGGGACCACACGGCGAGAGTACAAGTATATGTAGGCTAAATTCGGCACTTACTGTAAACATTTTTTTTTGAGTAGGCTTAATTATATATTCAAATCTATTATTAGAAAAAATTATGAATTATTCAGGTTAAGAGTGATATGAAAACAGGGAAAGAATGATTGAAATTTTCTACAAAAAATATACATAAATAAATATTTTACATTATAATATTGTGTTTATACAATTGTAATTTTTGCTTCATGTTTTAGGTGAAGATGGAGAAGCCAAAGAGAAACAACCTGTTGAAGAAAAGAAAGAGATAGAAGACGAAATTGATCCTTTGGATGCATATATGCAAGAAGTACAACAGGCGAGTAATTTAATAATAAGTCTAAATATAAAATTACCTATAGTACATATATAAGTTATTTAAGAATATTCTCTACTATTCTCTATATTCACAAGTTAAACCAATTGGAGAAAACTTTTTAAACCTTAGTCTTAGCTGCGTGATCAATAAATGTTTAATGGTTGGGTTAAAAAATAGTCCATCCCATATAGTATGTGTATATATTTTTTTTAATTTTCTTTTTAAACTATAATGACAGCCTAACAATGAAGAATCATTTTCAATAGTAGGGATGAAAAATAATACTTTTATATTTTTCAAAAAAAAAAAAAATATATATATATATATTCTTTATTGCACTTGTAAGTTACATATTAAATAATCTATTTATAAATGTTGTGAGCAAGGGTGGACTTACAGAGATTTCTTCCAGTCAACCCAGAACAGTAAGAAAGCATTTCGTTAGCGGGCAGCTGAAGCGCTACAACTATTAATACATAAACAAATATACAGTACAGTATTATTTAAAAATTTATTTATTATATATATTATTGTTGTTACTAGACACATTCATCTCACTAGCAAACCCATTACTGAAACTTAACAACGTTAAAGATAACATAATTAATATTTACATTTTTACACTACATGTTTTATGGTATATAATAGATGAGAATTAATTAGTCTACTCCTGACCAGATTTGGTATAACTTGGTTGAAATATCGAGATAATTTAGGTAAATTATTATAGTTTATCATGTTAATTCCCCGACTCTTAATAGCTCTACATTAATTAATTATTTCTTTGTAGGAGGTAAGAAAAGTCAACCAGATGGATCAAGCTAGAGGTATCAGTGTTCCCACTACAGGCGGAACAGGCGTGGTCATTCTTACTGGTACTGCCAAGAAAAACGTTACTGAACAGAAAAACAAAGGTATTTATTACAGTTTAGGTTCATGACATACGTTATAGATATATGATTAACAGGTTATAATGAAATTTTGAGAAACTTACCATTCGACATAGTTATGTAGGAATTTAATTCATTATTGTTATTCATGAGATTATGAAAATCCCTTCTATGAGTCCTATGTTCATGATGAGGGGATAAAAGGAAGACATTGTCAGATTATATTGTATATTTACATGAAGTATCAGACGATGTCATATGCAATTTTATTGTCATCAACCCACTGTACTATTGTACACTGTACACTTGTTTTAACTATATCTGTGACAATTTTCATCCAAATTAGTGCAGCAGTTTAGCTGTGAAAACGGATACATTACTACAGACTCCACATTTATTCATTCTTTAATTAACAGCTTAAAACTAAACAAATTGTTTCTCTGAACAGGTGAACTAATAGAACAGAACCAAGATGGATTGGAATATTCATCAGAAGAAGAAACTGAAGATATCAAAGATGCTGCTGCAAATCTTGCGTCCAAACAAAGAAAGGAGCTGGCCAAAGTGGACCATGCTAGTTTGAATTATATGCCATTCAGAAAATCTTTTTATACTGAGGTAATTCATATATTTTCAAACTTTTGTTACTATACTGTAGATGTCTCATCGAACATCTTATTTTTCGCTTTCATAGGATTTCTGGAAGTTATGAAAAGTTTTAGGATGTTTTCATAGTTTTTACGCGGGATCTAGGGATTTCTGTCCATTTCTGTGTTCTGAAAGCAATCATATTTAATATGCTCCATACTAGTCATTAAATAATAATGCAATCTAACGAGTGTCGGAAACATTATTATTAGCCTTAATAACTATAATCTTTTTTAATAGAACATATTGAAAATGTGTAAAAAAAAATGCATAATTGACCAGATCACAACAGTCTGCTGATAATATAGATTTGTTACTAATTTGGTTTAGAGAGTACATCTATGATAATTTTAGTATTTTTCAATAGAATTTAAGGAATAGATGATATTTTTTTTTTTCATTAAGTTCTGTTTAAATAGACTATAAGAATTCATACGGAGCACACAGTATGGATAGTACATTGTATGTGTAATTTAGCTGATATTCAAATACAAACTATATATAATGGACTGCTTATTTTCTTTCTCAGGTTAGCGAATTATCAAGAATGACGGCAGAAGAAGTAGAAGCATATAGAACTGAATTAGAAGGCATCAGGGTTAAGGGCAAAGGTTGTCCTAAGCCTATCAGAACGTGGGCCCATTGTGGTATCAGTAAGAAAGAGCTAGATATATTAAAGAAGCTGAGCTTCGAGAAGCCTACACCTATACAAGCTCAAGCTATACCCGCTATTATGTCTGGAAGGTATGGTTGGCTATTACACCACAATTATCTAGTGCCTGGGGGGAAAGGGATTGTTAGTAATGGAGACTGAGAATCCCATTCCTAGCAATATACCCAACCACGTCGACCTCCTCGCGGTTCCCCCTGGAAACTATCCTGGTTAAGTCCTGTTGAATTCATCATTGTAGGCTAACTGGCCTGTTTTCATTCTCATCTATCACCCTTCACTGGTGCTTCGCCAGCGTATCCCGTTAGCGCAGGCGGGGTTACCATACCATTTTCACCCATAAAAAAAAATCTAGTGCCTATTATGTACATATATAACTGTCAGAATGGATAACGGATAAGGAAGTTCTCTGGTTATCGCGAATGCAGTGTACCTGTAACTATAACAATTGTTATTATAAATAAACAACTGAAATGATGTATAGTAAAACTATTCATACTCTGTGACGTTTTCACATAGCGAATTTTTATATCTTCCCATGAGAATAATATTTTGCGGCAAATACTACTCATATTTATTTATTAATCAGTTTTTTACACCAATATTGTAAATGAGCATTAAGAAGCGTATGTTGTACCAGGAGTAAGGTAGGTAATGAGTAGTAAGGAGGTTAATTATTATCACACTATATTTCATTATAATCCGTTTAGTAGTTTTTGTGTGATAAGATGTACAGACAGACACGATTTAATTATAATATCTATATAGGTGACTTACATTTCTTTTTATGTCCCTGAAAAATATTTTCTAAAATAATTCGTTCTATATTTCGAGGACATAAGCTTTTCTAGAGACTCGGAGTTGAAAACAGAATTGAAAGGTCCACCGAAGGCGACTTCACACTGTGGGCATATACATATATCCAAAGACAGATGTGTCTATGTCTTTATATATATACATATAGCCATAAATTTATTGCAATCTAGTGTGATATTCAGTATTTTTGTGTCTATAAAAGATATCTTAATTAGAGTGTTGTTACACAACATACATTCATGCGACATTAAGTTGTAATTATGTTTTATACATTATAAAAAATTCCGATAAAGTAAGTCGTACAAGTTAACGGAAATATTTTTTATTAATATCATATTTAATAACATAAAATGTTAATTGTTAAATTAACATTTTTTATTTCTTTAGAATGGCAAACAAGTTTATTAACAGTCTACCTTATCAGGTAGACTTAATGGAATGTGGACATGAATATTACCATGGGCATTACAGAATACACTGTAATACTCATAGTGTCCTTCATGTGTTGCCATTCCTGAGAACTAAGTTGCCTCCATGCCTTATTCTGAATTTTTCCGTCTTTTTTGTCTTGAGTTTCAGTGTTCTGGGTTGTACCCCAGATGTTTTTGCCTGCTTTCTCATAACACAGGATATCTTAGCTTGCCGACTAGTCTATTGCTGTGTTTGTCTATTGTTGACATAATTATTGTTATTATTAAAAAAAAAGCCATAAAAATATATGAAATAACTTTTTTAAGTACAAATTGTTCATTTAAAAATGTATCAGTATAATTCAATTTTTGTTACAGAGATCTAATAGGCATAGCTAAGACTGGCTCCGGTAAAACGTTAGCTTTTATCCTGCCAATGTTTCGCCATGTGCTAGATCAACCACCACTGGAAGACACCGACGGACCGATCTCACTAATTATGACGCCCACCAGGGAACTGTGCATGCAAATAGGGAAAGACATCAAGAAGTTTGCCAAATCCTTGGGACTAAGAGTTGTATGTGTTTATGGGGGTACTGGGATATCTGAACAGGTTAGTTTACAATACAATATTTTCTATAAATCTACATAAGTATTGTCTGCCTCTAAATAAACTATTAATTTCATTTGCCTGCAAAGGGAAACAAATTGTTTTTGTTTGGATTTCAGTTGTGAACATATTACCAAGGGAAAAGTATATGTTTTAATTCAGTGTATGAATTGCCTGTTGGCCTAATTTCATCAAATTTTTTTATGATAATGGGAATGGCAAACAACCTTATAGCCCAATATGTGTTTAGTGATAAACATTTTGTGTATTTAAAAATCTTGATCAGATTTAAATTTCTAGATTTATAAAATTTGCAAGTGTAAATGTAGAATACAATTCTATTACTGGTGGAAAATGTTAATTACCGCTTATTATTATTACGAAGAGTTACATTTGTTCCTTTATTTTAATCAATTAAATTCGTTTTAAACAACTTTTCAATTCCAATGTATTGCTTGTATGGTATCGATATGCGATATCATTGTTCATTGTAGACTGATTTTAACGAATATGATAAAAATCATGTTGTTATTAAAATTGAAGTCTTTTTTACATAAAATTTTTAAACTATAAATTTTAATTTGTTTTCTAGATAGCGGAATTAAAGCGTGGTGCTGAGATGATAGTTTGCACTCCAGGTAGAATGATTGATATGTTAGCCGCGAATTCGGGACGTGTGACCAACCTGCGTAGAGTGACGTACGTCGTGCTAGACGAAGCAGACAGGATGTTCGATATGGGTTTCGAGCCACAGGTCAGTATTGTTTTAGGAAATGACTGTTAAATTGTACATCACTCAGATCATATACAGTATACACCATAACATATCAGAAAAAGATAAATATGTATCTGTTTATTTTCCCACCAAGTTCCATGCAGGTTAGACAGAGATAATTGGGTGCCAAAGATGTATATAGGGTACATCTCTTTCTTCCTGCACTTTTGTAACGTAAAGAAATGAAAAAAATCTTAATAAAAATCCCATGTTGCAATATTTATTTACGTTCGTTCAACCGATTTTAATGAAATCTTATGTGTAAATTGCTCCAACCTAATGCAGGATAATTTTTGTCCTGATAAGATAAATTGGAACCGGTAGGTGTCGTCAGGGGGCAAATAATATTTGATGGGTTGGCTGGAGTATTAATATAAGATCGATAAGCTCATGATATTTTCTTTTTTATTGTATAGGTGATGAAAATAATCGACAACATACGACCTGATAGACAGACTGTGATGTTCAGTGCCACATTTCCGCGACAAATGGAAGCTCTTGCACGAAGGATACTGCAAAAACCTATTGAAATTCAGGTATGTGATTAATACTTTTGTTATCATTTCTTATTTAAAAATCACGACCATGGATTCATCATCAAGTATAGGGTTAAAGTTATTGGAAGTCGTTATTGGTGTATTTATTATAACAAAACACAGCAAAATGAATGAAAGAATTGAAATGTCATAGGCATTCAAAATCATTCTTAAACAACAAGGCTGAAGGTTAGGATAAACTATCTACAGTAGAGGTACAAAACAGGCAAGACTTATAATGCACGTCTTAACTGGATAAATATAAGAACATATATAAAATGAGTCTGTCTTCGGACACACTATGCATATAGTGCAATGAGGATTAGGAATATGTGGAACACCTGATGTGCAGTTGTAATTCATGGGCAAGTATGCATATGAGTCTACTGGGAACGGCTTATTCGAAGTGTGAAGACTATAGACATCTTAAACCGCGCTATATCGTAATGGTATAACATAAAGTTTTCAAAGGCAGGGGGAAGCACAATAGATCGTGATGAGTCGACGTGTAACAGTTAAGTTAAACCCAAGGACGAATATATAAGATAGATATGGCAAATTTTAAGACGTTTGATCGGGCCATTTTAGGCCATAATAACCCAATCAAATATTTAATTTATAATACTTAGAGGTAACAAACAAATTCACTTTCACATTTTACAAATGTGGAAGTGATAGTCATGTTTGGGAGTATTTTTTTTTATTGGTATGACGTCTATTAACATTGTAATCTAAGTACAAATAGGATAGATTGTTTGCTATATTGTAACAACCGTAACTTCCTGTCGGTTGAATATTTTTAAATTGTAGTTTACGGTATAAGTTATATTCTTTAATTTTTGACAGGTTGGCGGTAGGAGTGTAGTATGTAAAGATGTAGAACAGCATGTCGCCATATTGGAGGAGGATGCGAAATTCTTCAAATTACTCGAATTGCTTGGATTATACAGTCAAATGGGCAGTATCATAGTATTTGTGGACAAACAGGAGAACGCGGACAGTCTTTTGAAGGACCTCATGAAAGCTTCTTACTCGTGCATGAGTTTACATGGCGGTAAGTTCACCTAAAATGTTGTATTTCATTATGGAGCCTTTATGGAGAAAGCTCTATGGTTTAGAATTTAAATTTTCACCAATGTATTTGTTTGCTGATATGCAGTGTATTCTATTTCTAAATTAAGACTTGTATAAGTGCCTAATCTAAGTGAAGATTTGATCAGTACCAATTTGTAACCACTAATGTAGGGTTATTGAGAAATGTTTGGAGTAAATTTTACAATATAGGGACAATAATATGGGAATACATTATTAATATTAGTTTGCCATTTTAATTATTAAAAGTAAGTTATAAATTATTATTTAAAAAAAAATATATATATATATTTTCGTTTACTGAAAAATATTATAATTTTTAATAGCTTTTCTGAAATTATCATCATCGTTATATCAGCCCTTAACTGTCCACTGCTGAACATAAGCTTCTCTCTTGGGGGGTTTTGCCAATAGATGCCACGGTTGGGAAGCAAATTGGTAACCCTAGTTAGGATTTGGGGATGTTTCAAGTTTTGGGTTTATAATTTTGAGTAATTTATATATGTTTTTAAATAAATTTGTTAAAAAACGTTGGTTTAGAATCGCTAATTATGATGATGGTGTGATTTAGTATTTTTAAATGCAACAAACCGTCTGTACAATAGATTGTTTACAATAGCTTTTTGTCTATTGCTCATTAATATTTTTTTTTCTAAGTTCACATTGATGTAGGTCAAGCGCTAATACTTGTATTATTTTAGAGATTGAGATTTATTTTTACATGAACAAAGACACTAATATAAGCTACAGCAGAGTTCTTCGTTAATAACAAGAACGGCCTAAAATGTCTTCACACCAGAGGGGCGAAACCCTCTTACATGCAGTAACTACATAGTAGCTTTTCCTAAATTTATAATTAGAGTACATTTTATATTTTCTTAGTACATTACTGCAGCGGCCAGCAACTGAGGCATTGATGGACGAACGTGGAAATGTGGGCTGAGGTGTAGTTGAGGCACACATACGTGAGTCCATCAATGCCTAGTTGTGGCCAAGGCTTGTATAGTACTTTTCTCAAACAATGCGCGAAAATCAAAAACACAATTTTACTTTTTAAGTTCAATGACGAACAATAATAATTTTTCACGCGCCATAATGTCCGTTTGTTTTTTTTTTTCAATAAACAGCTTTTTTTTTGCAAGCTAGTTCGAAATTTAAATAAAACCTTTTATTAGTTACCTCCTTGGTAGCCATGTCTCGAAGTAAAAGGTCATTCCATTTTTAAATTACACGACAGATATGAGTTAACATAGTAATTTATCTGGCCGCAAAACACGACAGCTATGGATTTTCATACAACTTTTGCCGGCCGCTGCCCGCATGTATCTGGCCAGTACGGCAATTTTGATTTATCTCTAAGAAGATTGTCAAAATAATGCTCACATTTCCAAGCATGTTTGAGAAAAAATTATTATCGCATTGTTTCCATGATATATGTTGGATTTAAAATAACTAAATTTATAATATTTTTATTTCAGCTTACGATCCTGTCTCAGTGCTGATGAAGATTGCTTTTAATTTCTTGTCTACTTGACAATGTTTAATATTAATTTATTTAAGATCTTCAAGTGTTTGTGCGCTATTTTATAATAACATTATTTTTTCTATGTAATGTAGTATATGTGGTTTCAGTTTATTAAAATATATTAGTATGCAATAATATAATATATATATATATATATATATATATATATATATATATATATATATATATATTAATAGAATGATAAATTGTTAATACAATTTAAAATAAAAAGACTTATATTGTCAATATCAAAAGACGTTATATGTGCAAATATGAAGTGTAGTCTATTTTACAATATTTATTTTCAATGTAGATATTTTTTCCATTTTTTTTTTCTTAATAACATATATGTTCGTATGTTTTCTATACATATATCGTTTGATTGTTTCATAGCACGCAGACACTTGCTGATCCCGCTGGTTTTTTAAGTGACATATATATTAATGGTGGGTTGTTACAGGGATTGATCAATTCGACAGGGACTCGACGATCGTGGACTTCAAGAACGGCAAGGTGAAACTGTTGGTAGCAACAAGCGTGGCGGCTCGCGGTCTCGACGTCAAACAACTAGTGCTGGTCGTTAATTACGATTGCCCCAACCATTACGAGGATTACGTGCATAGGTGTGTTCATATTTTATTATTCGATTGTATTTTTGAAATTGGATATTTTTATCAAGTTATAAGTAAAGGATAAGAAGTTAAATGGAGTCTGCAGTACTAATATTTGTTAAACTGAAATTAATCAATCTAGAATTATATGGGGGGAAATTAAAATCATTCGCGCCCTTTTAAGGACTAAACCAGTGGAACTAAATATTGTTTAATTAAACCGAAAAACGATATTTTTTTTTTATATCGCATATTCTATCACTGTTTGTGGGGAGTTATTAAGGTAGTATAGGAGGTTTCAAATTGTCGTTTCTCGATACATGTTTCATTGCGAAAAATGTTCAGTTTCACTAATAGAATATTTTACAATTTTGATTTCACCTGTTTAATAAATTTATATATACATAGATATAAGGCAAGATAATATAAATATATACAACAATATCTATTATGTTATTTATTACAATTTCTTTCAATTTTAAAACTGTTACATGCTTACATTTACATTATATGCACATAATTGTTTTTTGATCTCGCTTTATTTTGTCAATGTATTAGCAATCTAAATACTGGAAAGGGATTGTTAGTAATGGGATCTAAAACCGCTTTTCTAAGCAATATGCCCTATCAAATCGACATCCACGCGGTTCCCTCTTTTAAACTATCGTGGTTAATTGTTGTGTTCTTCACAATAGGTTTGCTGACCCGCTTTCATCCTCATGCTTATCATCTCAGTGGTGTCATGCTATCCTATACAAATAGCGCAAGCGGGGGCATGCTGTTTTTACTCATAAAAAAATCTGTACATACCTGAGTACGTTATTATTTTTTTTTTATGGATGATAATGGAATTGCCCCGCTTGCGCTATCGGTATACACTGGCGCGGCACCAGTGAGAGATGATAGGTGAGGATGGGACAGGTCAGTTAGTCCACCGTGACGAATCTAACAATAAATCAATCACGATGGTTTCCTAGGAGAACCACGGGGAGGAAAGGAATCACTTGACTAGATATATTGCTAGCAATGGGGCTACTAATCCCCATTACTAGCAATCCCTGCCCCCACCGGTATGTTATACTTCATCCATGGGGTTCTTCAAAGGGGGGGTAAAGAGGTTTCTTCAGAATCGGCAGCGCGCGCGTAATACCTCTGGTATTGCAGGCGTTCATAGGCTACGGTAACCGCTTACCATCAGGTGGGCCGTATGCTTGTATGCCACCTCAGTGGTATAAAAAAAATATCCATGGTACAGATGCGGTCGTACCGGTCGCGCGGGCAACAAAGGGTACGCGTGGACGTTCCTAACGCCGGAGCAGGGCCGGTACGCGGGCGACGTGGTGCGGGCGCTGGAGCTGGCCGGCGCGGCGCCGCCGCCGGAGCTGCGCCAGCTGTGGGACCGGTACAAGGACGCGCAGGAGAAGGACGGCAAGAAGGTGCACACCGGCGGCGGCTTCAGCGGGAAAGGTACGACCTCTCCAGAGTTCCTGGAGATTAAAAAACTTGTTTTATAACGCTCATAATATTAAGAGTTATTTTAGCGTAGCAAAGTATTGTATTGTAGTGTAGCAACGTCGCAATTATTTATTTATTTATTTATTACATCCACTGGGTGAGCCTTACAGTCTTCCAATACGCTCACCCAGGAAAGCATGAGTACAATAACATACAAAAAGGAATATTACACAAAAATATAAAAAAAAATAATACAAAGATACTCAACTGAAACAAAAAACGTCTGAACACAAATACTCTGTGGTCCCTCGACGAAACTCCAGCAAGTTGGAGGCAAATACATCCAATCGCGGATACTGGCTCAAAATATCATTGAGTAGTTTCAATGCAAGAGATATGGGAGCCTGCTTAGCGAACTCTGTTCTTCGTAATGGAATATCGATCATTATCTGTCAATTTTCAAAAATAGTTTTCAATGTTTCTGATTAAAAAGTTTAAAATTGAAAAGTTTTGTGTTAAAAGTGTTCCGATAGTGAATTGAAATCTTTATCATGCTTATTAAGCTATTATTCTTATTAAGCTATTTTGATGGCAAAAAAGTTGAAAAATTCCAAAGTATAATATGAAATAGGTGAAAAGTTTTTAGAGGTAGATTTATGTATATGTAAGATATTCTAAGATTGCATTTGATTATCATGAACAGGTTTTAAATTTGACGAGTCAGAGGCCCAAGCGGCATCTGAAAAGAAAAAGTACCAGAAAGCAGCTCTCGGTCTACAGGACTCCGATGACGAAGACGTGGAGGGTGATCTGGATCAGCAAATTGAAACTATGCTCGCCGCTAAGAAGATTGTCAAAGAAATTAAGGTATTTAAATTTGAAGTCTCTTCATTCATTCATAATAATTAATATATGTAGTCTCTGGTTTGAGGTAACAGATGCTATATTTACTTACATTTAAAAGGGTCAGGTTTCAGACTAATATTCCATATTAAAATAGCCTGGACCAGATTATTATATATAAAAAAGCTAATGAAATACACTTTTGATTTTAGTACTTACTTTCTTACAATTTTGCCTTCTTTTCTGATACATAAGCATATAAAAATTAAATTAAATTGTCAGAGATTTGTAGAAAACTTATTCTAAACATGTGATATTTTTTACTTCGTCTTTTGTTTACATAAAATCCTGCCCTAATTTGGGGCAAAGAATTGACATGCAGTTGCAATATATTTTTAAATCAATATCTGTATTACGCTTTTAATTTGAAAATATTTTTCCCATGTTTAATCTAAGTAACGTTTATTCCCAGACCATTCACATCGTAAAAAAAAGTATACAATTTGTCAAGTAGTTAAATTTTAAAAATGTTACATTATAAAGTAGATTCTTCATTTATGATATCTATCAATATAAACATTTTGTATAAATGCATATTATAAATAGTATTTTTATTATACTGTTGATAATTCTCGGTCTTTAGGCGATTCCATAGACTTCAAAAAGAAGGTGGTTCTCAATTTGTTTGTATTTTTCCATGTTTGTTGCCTCATAACTTAAAAGATATATTTACAGATTAATCCTTTAGAATCTTATCAAAATTGATTGAGTAGATTAGTCGACTGCTTGGGTATCTCTGTCCCATTCGTGTTTCAACCGTGAAGCAGTTGTGTTTGCATAGCTGTGTTTCGGTTTGAAGGGTGGGATATGGCGTGAATTTACTGGGTACAGAGGAATAAAACTGGAGTCCTCAGGAATGGCAACGCATGGGGGGTATCATGGGCGAAACAGTATAATCTGTTATGTCCATGGTACTGCTCATGTCTATAGGCGACGGTTACCACTTTCCGTCAGGTGGACCGTCAGCTTGTTTGCCATTCTAAGTTGTATAAAAAAAAATTGTTTGCATTCTTTAATTTAGTTTATCACTTTTGTCAATATAAAACAGTACCGATTCCTCAATAGCGTGTTTTTTTATACAACTTAGAATGGCAAACAAGCTGACGGCCCACCCGATGGACAGTGGTAACCCTCGCCTATAGACATGAGCAGTACCATGGACATAACAGTATACTGTTTCGCCCATGATACCCCCCATGCGTTGCCATTGCTGAGGCCTCAGGTGTTAGTCTTCTGTACCCAGTAAATTCACTCCATATCCCACCCTTCAAACCGAAACACAGCCATGCAAACACAACTGCTTCACGGTTGAAACACGAATGGAACAGAGGTACCCAAGCAATCGACTTTTGTACAAAGTCTCCCTCTGGTGAGTGTCTTACTTACTTGTTGATGTGTTACTATGTGTTTGTTCCCGGCAGCCGGGCGTGGCGGCGGGCGTGGGCGCGGGCGCGGGCGCGGCGGCGGGCGCGGGCGCGGGCGCGGGCGCGGCGGACGGCAAGCTGGAGCTGGCGCGGCGCCTCGCCTCCCGCATCAACCTCGCCAAGGGGCTCGGCGCCGAGCACAAGGGCGCCACGCAGCAGGCCGCCGAGGCGATCCTCAAGGGGGCGCCGTCCGCGCACACGCTTATTACGGTCAGTATTCAAAAAGTACATTTATGAGTATAGCCTTTAATTTTTTCTCTATTTTTCTATAGCATATATACACCTAATGGTTTGTTTTGATAGTGCCGATGCTATATAAGTATTTATATTTATGAGTTTGTTTTTTTTTTTTAATGTATAAAATGTATGTGTTTAGGAAAGAAAGATATTCAATATTTTTATCAGTTGTTTATTAAAAGTCAGTGGCGTAATTATATCATTTGGAGCTGCGGCAAATTCTTTTGATGGTGCCCTATCAGTAAAAAAAAAAAAAATCTTTTCAAATAAAATAAAATACTCAGGTACAATGTAAAAAAAAAATATTTCTGAGGTCGTGGCCTCTTGAGCCGGGGCCTTTTTGGGTCGAGGGCCCGTGGTATTTTGCTAGCCCTGCCACTCTATTGTTACACCACTGATAAGTTTTGCTTAGTTTATTACTATATTGCACTGTATAGTATGTCCAAAGATATTTATTATTATTTTAACACAGCATAGAGAAAGGGTTCTAGCTTAGCATTATCAGTGGATAGCAAATAGCACAGGTAATTTTGTATTTTATTTTGTCCAATCTATTTTAACTATATTTTGTTAATGTCAGAGGTTAAATAAAGGAGATGTGCTGAGACTAGATTCAGTCAATGTACGTAAAAATAGCTACAACAAAGCAAAAATATGTTTTGCTTTGTTGTCTGACCCTAAATAAATTCAGTATTAGAAATGAATTAGGACAAGAAAATTGGCGAGTAGTAGAGTGAATATATTAAATTATAAATTAAATATTTTATATCCATATTTAATTATTTTAACATATCCCAACCATCTGGACGAGTGGCGGTCTTCCACCGTGCATTTTTAAAGGCACTTTCTTCCACGAACAACCACTCGTTGAAATCAACTTCCAGCAGAAATATTTCCGAACCGATACGACATCATAACTTTTAAGAAAAGAGCATATTCCTTTTTAAAAGGCCGGCAGCACACCTGCAATGCCATTGGTGTTTTAAGTGATCATTAGCGGCGGTAGTCACTTACCATCAGCTGAGCCGTATGCTCGTTTGACCTAATGTAATAATAAATATTAGATTATATTAGCTATACATTCATTAATAACAATATAAAATAGGCATAATAATTTAAGCATAATCATGCTTCAAGTAACAAACATATAAGTTACAAACTTAATATTAGTAGGACCGTTGTGTGGAACAAACGAAGTCTCTAGATATAATCAGAAGAAAAAACCTTCCACTAACTTGCTACGTGATGGGAGCCTATCAACTCACATTTGTGAACGCAAACATGTAAATAGTAAAAATTTCCATACACCGTATCTGGAGCAAAACAATAATATTGTTTTGACGTGTGCACGAGGAAATCATATACACAACTATATTTTTTAAATGTCAGTTATGATAGATTGTAAGTTGTGTAATTCTTTTACAGTGTCAAATAATAAATGTATTATAAGTAGATATATTATTATTATTATTATTGCAGTTAAAATACATACCAAAATACTTTAATATTATTTTATATTAACATTTTATTGCAAGCATAGGCGTATGTCCTCTTAGAGAGATTACATCTATTATATTAAAATAGATAGATGTCAAAATTTTATTGTTTAATATGTTGCATAGTGCATATCAGTGTAAATCATTGTCTTTTATAGTTGATTATCATGATTAATATTATTAATTAATTTACGTAAAATTTACACGCAAACATTGAAATATATAGGTAATACGTATTGCCATTCTGAGGAATGGCAATGCATAAAAGGACTAAAATGTTACGCCTTAGCCTGTAATTTTTCTGCGTCGTTCTTAGAAATTGAAACATGACTATGCAAGCATAGCAGCAGGAAGAAAAGAGATTATCGTAAAGTTGGATATTTCTAAAAAATCTCTATGGTAAAAGTTAAGAGATATAATTAAACGATTTCTTTATGTATATGTTTTTATTATCATAAATGAGGGTAATGAGGTATGCTGATAAGTAATATATTAATATTTAACTAATTGACTCGGCAAATATTGCTTTGCCCCCTATGTATTTAGTACCATTATTTCTTATCGCGATAAAAACTATACTATCTTTTAAGTTGAAGCAAACAATACAGAAAATTTCATTAACGAATACTTGATGTATTCGATTTTGGAGATTAACGTGAACGAAAGTCGTGACTCGAGATTTGTTAATATATTGAGATGTTATTTTTAATTTTCAGGCTAAAACAGTAGCGGAACAGCTGGCTGCTAAATTGAATACGAGATTGAATTATCAGCCTCGAGATGAGAGTGCATCGGAGCCAGCCGAGGAGGTGTTCCGCAAGTATGAGACTGAGCTGGAGATCAACGACTTCCCGCAACAGGCCCGCTGGAGGGTCACTAGCAAGGTACAGTCCGAATTATCTGTAATAGTTAGTTTGTAAATGAGGTCTCGGGTTTGACTCCCGGATGGGTCAATTTAACGAAAACGAACTTTTTTGAATTGGTCCAGGTTTGGATGTTCTGAGTCGTATCCCCAGATATTATTTGTCTGGTTTCCAATTACACAGGGTATTTTTGGATGAGGGTCATGCGATTGTAGTGGTTGTATGGCATTATTTATTTATTTATGATAAAATATCTTTTCAAACATTACAGATTTTATTAATTCGCATGACAAAGCCTTAACAAGAATGTAAATACAGAAATATTGACTCTAGAATTAAGAAACATTGTGAATTTACCTAATATATAAATTACCATACAAACTCTCGATATTTCAGCTTTTTATAGGTTTAATTTATAAACATGCTCTTTCATTTCTGTAATTTCGTTGTAATTTTATAGTTTTATCCTTTAGGCCTTTTCTAATTAGTTTCAAACTAGCTTTTATCTGTTACTTTGTCCGCGTGACCGGGATATGTTTATTGATCGAGATAAAAAGTAGCCTATATCCTTGTCTCATATAGTACGCGTATACCAAATTTAATACTGATTAGTTAAGCTGTTAAAGCCCTATAAAGATGTTATTTTCAGTGTGTTTAATATTTTTTTTATTATTTTTAAGTTTATGAACTTTACCCTTTTGAAGTTACTGTCATACTCTTTTCGTCACTTTTTGTAATTATTTACTATGAGTTTGCAATTTTTAATCGATAGCAGACAGACAAAGATATTGTTTTTAAAAAATCATTCACCTTTGATGACCTCTGTAGCGCAGTGGTGTGTACGTTGCTTTACGTGAATGAAATTCGCGGTTCCAATCTATCTCGATCGGTCCGATTTAATGAAACAGCTTAATCTTTTAAAACTTAATGTGATGATTCCTGTCAAATCGTATGTTTTCCAATATGAAATATGTTTAATAGTTTGTTAATTCGATATTGTTATGTTTAAGAACTTTTGAATGGTCCTAGAGTAACATGTTAGTTACTGTTTTAAAATATTTTACAAACTATTTAATTCAGATGTTTAGGCTATTATTAAACGATAATAATTTTAGATTTAATTTCTTATTTTTAGATAGTTTGTGATTGAAGTTCCCCAAAAATCCTTTTATCGCTTCTATTTGGGTTACGACGCTCTTATATTGTATGGGGCGTGGACGACCCACAGGTTAAAAAACATTGGTGCAATAAGCTATGTTTTTGATAGCGCTCAGTAATGAAATAATTAACTTGTGGCAGTCATCGCTCCTTTATCTCGTGTACGCGTGTATTAGAGAAATAAATATTTTTTTCCTCGTTCATACGCCCTCTTTATATCTTTGACCTTTTTCTATTCATTGCAAAGAAGTCTCTCCGATATAAATAATTAAAAGTGTTATCACGCTAGGTCGTATCACGTAGGGTTACCCTTGCAATTATGTATGCACATGCACCGATGTTGCATTCGAATGAGTCTCAGTATAGCTTGTTTCTCTGCGATAAACAGTCAACATGCTACTCAAGTTGGCATTATTGGGGGCCCTGATATTTTTTTGTCTTAAAATGCTGAAAAAGCACAAGTGTTATCACTGTCACTAATTATAAATATAAGGTGAATTTACCTATTTTATTATATATTTCCAATTTGTTATTGGCCATACAGATAAATAGATTTTGTGATGTAGTTAAAAGTATTTCGTCATTAAATTGAGTCTTTAGTAGACTATGTATGTTACATGTAAGAATAAAGCATTAGCACAAGTTTTTTTTTGTCTATTTTATAAGGGATTTGTCATAATCTTGGTAGACTAATATCTATGTTCTAACCCAAGCTCCCTTACAAAATAGATTGAGTCAGTTTAGTGCCAATGGATAGTATATGCCTGTAGTTTGGTAAGAATATTAATTGGTATTAATGTATATATTGTTTTCTTTTATAGGAGGCGCTAGCATTGATCAGTGAATACAGTGAAGCTGGCATCACAGTGCGGGGAACGTACGTCCCGCCTGGCAAGACACCACCAGAAGGCGAACGCAAACTGTACCTCGCCATCGAAAGCTCCCAAGAGCTCGCTGTAGCTAAAGCGAAATCGGAAATTACGCGCCTCATCAAAGAAGAACTGCTCAAGTTACAGACCTCTGCTCATCACATGATAAACAAAGCCAGATATAAAGTTATATAAGTGATGAAATAAATGGAATGTATCTAAAATAAAATATGATTTTTATGTAACACGTCACCTTTAATGATTGTGCATTATCGCTATCAAGTTATTGCATAAATATTATTATGCATGATATTGAAATAAATCCAGAATTATGAATTATTTGTACTACTACTATATTACTTTCCCGCGCCTTTGCACCGCACGAATGAGTATGTATAGGTATCCTATTTGTTGATTTAGGATATAACATCCTGTTTATCAAATTTTTTTCAAATCTGTTTAGTAGTTTAAACGTGACTGAATATGAAACATATAAACATCTAAAGACCTTTACAAACGTTCATATTTATAATATTGGTATGGTAGGATGGCACTAATTCGAGTCCGTGACTGACTGCACACGATTCGGTATACTTAAAATACTTTATATATTTAAGGATAGACAGTTACTGCTTGTTAATTGATGTTGTGATAATATGACTACTATCTTATTGCTGGCGTCAGAGGTTAGTCTAAAATTCGACTTCTAGATAGTGTAGGTATTATCCTTAATCTATGAGATGGTGTATTACAAAAAAAAAAAAAAGCAATATTACATCTAGTAATATAAATATGGTAATTTTTGACAGTGTTCCATATATAAAATCGACTTCATTAATGTTAAAAACAAAAATGTTAAATCAACCTAGATTTAAAATTTAAACTACTGAAGCGATTTTTATAAAATTTCTATGGGATCCATCTGAAAGTACATCCTTTCAGATAAAAAAGAATTTCCAAATTAGTTTATAAATGACAGAGTTGTGAGGTAACAAATATATAAAAGACAACAATTGAAAACCTTGTCCTTTTTTGAAGTTTATTGAAAACGACAAATTATATATAAACAGTCGTTAAACGCGAAAGATAAGTATAATAAGAAATAAAAATTTCAAAAATCATTGCTTCATTTTCTCTTAGTTCTCACATAAACTCTTATGATAGTGTTTCTATGACGAGATACTATACATACAGTTTAATTATATATATATATATATATATATATATATATATATATATCTATAGAATACCGTGTGGCCCTGCCATAGAATGGGCCACCCTTGAAGATAAAAAAGTAACTAAAAAGTTAATTATAGAATACATTACAAATAAATCGGACATTAAATTCTTCGCACCTACTTCATATTTTACTTCGGAATTTTTCTAATACATTTTTGCTTCTAAAATAAATTTTCAGTGACAGTTTAATAAGAATATACCTTAGGTTATATAGATAGAGCATCGAATCTCAAAAACGGATCAACTTTTTGTCAATTAATTGTCAAATTAGCTACTTCGTTTTTTTATTAGTGTTCTATATATATACGCACACAATGTATCTTAACGTATCTATAGTTAATTATTTAATAAATAATATTAGTTTTCACATTAAAAGTGTGTAACACGCAAAATTGTATGAAAAAGATGACCCGCTTTTTTCGACGCATTTGTATGGAGACACTATATATATATATAATCTAAGATTATTTATTACATGATTAGAATGGTTCTTTTTTGTTTTTCATTAATTTGTGAAAATACTTTTTTACAGGTCGTAGCCTCAGAATATGGGCGTTAGATGCCTAACGAAATAATATATAAGAAATAATAATTTGTGTAATGAAATGCGACCAAAAATCTTGACAATAAAGTGTGAGTAAACGTTTAAGGGTTTAAACGTAAATTAATTTTGCTAAAAATATTTTTTTTTCCAAGTTCTGCATACTTTGAAGACCTTTGTAAGTAGTCTTCTTTATTTCATGATTTAAATATGGAATAGGGTAGAATAATAATATAGTCTATATTTTGATTGGCGGGAAAACTTGTAACGCGAGGGCGGAAATTTTAAATTCATTTTATTTGTTTAATATTTATTTGTTGCTTCTCCTAGTTTCTTTTACTTATTTCTCCAATTTAAGCCCTCGTGTGTTGTTAGAGGATATGTGCGAGTCAAGCGGAGGCAAGTTAAAAAGAAGAAAAAAAAATACTTCCATATCTGATGAAGAGCCAGATGCTAAGATGAGTATTAAATTTACTCACTCAAAAAGAGGACTGTTTAAAGATCAAAATTACCTATATTCTGACACTACTAAAAATGAATATTTTATCCTGTTGTCTCCTATTGAGGGCAACAATGTAAATTTATTGCAAGTCAATTCTATTCTGAGGACTGTACCTGGTGTATTCTATATTCGTACTATGGGTCCTACTGCATTCAAAATATGTTTTCGATCAATGAAACAGGCTAACGAATTTTTATTAAATAAAGATTTATTAGAGAAACATAAACTTCAGGCTAGGATACCCAATAATCAGCTGGAATCTCAGGGAGTTATAAGAGCTCCTACTGAAATATCTGAGGAAGATCTTTTAAATAACTTAAAATCTACTGTAGATATCATCGGTGTTAAACGTTTCAAAAAAAAGAAAGAAGATGGAAGTTTTCATCCTCTTCCTACAGTTTTAGTAACTTTCCTCTCTACGCAGCGACCTGATCACGTAACGTATGATCATATTTGGCTGGATGTGCGTGAATTCATTAGACCTCTACTCCAATGCTTCACTTGTTACAAATTTGGTCATGGAAGCAGTTCCTGCAGAAGAAAGCAAGTTTGTTCCATATGTGCCGGTGCCCATGATTATAGATCCTGATTCAACAAAGAGAATCCTAAATGTGTTAATTGTAATGGACAACATGTAGCAGTATCTAATAGCTGTCCCACTAAATCGATGAAATTGTCTCAAATCAAAGATAAAATTCTAGGCAAAACATCTTATGCATCAGTGACTTCAAAATCGGTTAACTCTGTAATTAATTCAAATACCCCTGTGTCTATTAACAGCTCAACGCAAAATAAATCTCCTCAAAAAAGGGCATTAGTTACTGACATCATTAACTCAGACATTGTACTCAACACAATTACTAAGACTGTTATTGAGCTAGTTAAGAAAGCTCAAACTAATTCTGATACAATTTCATCCAAATTAATTAAGGAAATACTCATATCTAATTTTTCAACATGACCATTACATCTTTAAAGGAAATTAATATTGTTCATTGGAACTCAAGAAGCTTTCTGTCTAAAATATTTCAATTTAAAAACTTTATTTACAACTTTACATCACATTTTGATATCATTTTACTAAATGAAACTTGGTTTGATTCTAACAAAATCTGTAAATTGTCTGGTTACAATATTAGTTTGAAAAATCTAATGTTTTTCTTGGTAGACAATATTATACTACATTAAGTAGATTGCGGATAGGTCATTGTAAATTTCCTGCACATTTGCAACGTATTAATTTATTGGATAATTCTATCTGTAAATACTGCCAAAACATTTTTTCTGATTTGGATCATATTTTTTTGTTTGTCCTAAATTCTCACTTCAACGGTTACTTTTTTTTTTTTTTTAGTACGTTTGTTCCGTTTGGAACAGGCTAAGGTCGGAGACCATGCTGCCTAGTCTTCAAAAAGATAATTTGTCTGGAATTTTATTTTTCTAATGTCGCTTCAATTATTGTCATAATCTTCAATATTTCATTTGTCAAATCCGGTAAGTACATTTTCATAAATATCTTTTCTTGAGTTTTCTTAAACCAGTGGATTTATCAAATTAAAAATAAATAATTATAAAAAATCATTGTCTTGCAATTCAATAAAAGTATTCTTATAGCTCCTTGAATGTTGTAGTAATATAAGTGAAAATAGCTTTGAAACAAGAAGGAAATCTTAAGAGAAGCGGGATTGAGTGCGGGATATTTTCGGGTTTTTTGAAGATAATCCTAAGTTCGTCAAACATAATGTGTCTTTGAATGACAAATTCAGAGCAATCAAAAAAAAAAGGTGATGTAGAGATTGGGCTGTATTTGAGTTACACCATGTGCATGATGGGGAAGCGATCATGCCCATTCGGTGCAGGTGTTCGTTGAAATGTCCGTGGCCGATTCGTAATCTACAAATATTGGTGTAAAATTTTCTGTTTGTGTCCTTTCCTTTGCAGAACCACGGTTTTCCAATACGCCAATTAATTTTGCGGTACCATTTGCCTTTAGTCTGTAATATTTGAGTCCAATGCTCCTCCCATTTAGTTGTAACGATTTTATGTATTCCAATACTACAATCTGAGTAACAAAGGGGTAAATCTTGAACACGAGCAGCACTTGAATTAATAATTTTAGCCAAAGTGTCTACTTGTTCATTCCCAAACACTCCAATATGTGAAGGGGTCCAGATGAAGATAATATCTTTTCCATATATAGTACAGAGATGATAATATTTATTACGAATTTCTTGAATTAAGTAGTTTGATGATGAAATGAATGTGTTATTTTTTAATGCCATAAGAACACTCATACTATCTGTAATTATAATCCATTTCGAATATAGTACCTGTTTTTCTATGTATTCTAATGCTAAAAATATAGCTTTTGCTTCTGCTGTGTAAATACTAGCCAAAGTTGAAATTTTATAACCGTGACCAAATCTATTTGACAAATCGTAAAAAGCCACTGAAGTGCTAAGTGCATTTTTGGAACCATCTGTATATATCTGCCTGTAGTCAATAAATTCTGATAAAGTCTCATACATATCGTGCTTTTCTTTTATGTCTTTACGTATAACAATTTTGATTTTACAGAACTTACTCTCATAAAGGCCATTATAACAAGGAAGTATCTTACTACTATAGATGTTATATTCATCTCGTAAATTCAAATCATTGACAATAGTTTTATTCAAAAACATAGAAATGGGGCAATTTAATAATTTGAGTATGAGTGGGTTATTGGAAACTGAAAAAACTTTGAAGAGAAATTTGAGTTTTAGGTATTCGAAACGAAGAAGGATAGGAGGCAAATTACATTCTACTTGCATTGAGATAATTGGAGAAGTATACATAGCACCTAAAATAAGTCTTAAATTCATATTTTGAATTTTTTCGAGTTTTTCTACTAATTTATGTTCTGAGGCATAACAAAAGAAAGCGTAATCAAAATTACTTCTAACAA